TACCGCGTCGACTAAAAAGTCACCTTGTCGCCGGACCGCCATCCCCTCCACATTCCCTCCCAATCTCAGCATCTCATCCCACCGCACGCCCCCGACATCTACTCACCAAACTCACCATTTTACACACACAAACGCTCAATTCTTTGCGCTCTTCACCAGTCACCGGGAGCGCAGTTTACCAGAGCTTGCCGTCACCCTAGCTCGCATATTGGACCGTTCGCTTTTGACTGTGCCGGCAGAAGGAATAGAGGGGGATTCTGTACACACTAATTGCGAGTACGCCGTACATTTGGGATTGGATGTTGGCTGCCCCCGAACAAGCGTCTTTATTGAGCCGAGGCGTGAGCCTCTGATGCACCGCCGCCCGCCGCTTTCACCATGTCGAACGATCCCAACATTCGGCGGTTGCTCCCCCAGAACTCCCAAATGCAGAACTTCGCATTTGCGCCACAGCAATATCAGCAACAACCTAGGGAGACACAGAAGAGTGCGCTTGTCTTTGAAAGTTATACATGCTTAAGGCTCCTATCTAACCTTCTTCTATAGATTATGTCTTCGTAGATGAGCACAATCGACATAAGCGCTTGAAGGGTATGACTCGCAGTAATCATACCAGAATGTTGAGCTAACCCAACCTAACCACAGTTATGCGAGCATGTGAAGGCTGTCGAAGAAGGAAAATCAAGTGTGATGCTGCGACGACAAATACGTGGCCATGTTCAGCATGTATCCGCCTCAAGCTTCACTGCGTTCGACCGAACGGCTATGATGGTGCAGCGGATACACAGGTCTATGAGGCTGCCGACTATGAGTCCGCACCTGTGCCCGACACCTTCCGTCAGCAAATGTCCATGCAGCAACAACAGCAGCAATCACAACAGCAACAGCCCGAGCAGATGATTGCTGGCCCGTCCAAACAGAACCCCTCTATGTACAATCCTCAGGGAAACTATGGCGACAGCTCCGCGCTCTACCAATCCGTGCAATTTTCGAATCCGCAGGGTTCCAGTCAGGCACTTCATTATACTACCGTACCACCACCGGTCGGAGTGGTAGATCACTCATATGCGCCACATAATGTCTTTCCTACACCCCCTCTCCAGCAAGGGTCTCGCCACGAGTCTCCCCCGGATATTTACAACCAGGATCAGTATGGACAGCAAGATTTAGCAGACCTTCTCGGTTCTCTAAAGATGAATGAAGCTGGAACAGGTATGCCACTCACTACTCTGGCATCTCTATTCCAGTGAGCTACTGACAGTTTTCACAGCACCGTATCTAAACCATAAAATGCGCGGCAAACAGGAGGAGGAGCCCGCTGTAGAGGAGGTTGATGACTACAAGAGCGTTCTGCCGCCTCTTGCATCGGGCCCTGGGCTCAAAATTAGGATACCTCCCGAGCTGATGCCTGATGAAGACACAATTCTCCATTATTTCGATCTTTTCTTCGCCCATGTTCATCCCTACGTCCCCGTTTTAGACAAGGCTTTGTTCTACCAACAATGGCATAGCAACAGGGAAGCAATGTCGCCTTTGGTGCTCGAGGCGGTGTTCTCTTTGGCCGGACGGATTGCCGATGAGCCCGGAGAAGGGCAGCAATGGTTGGCCTTGGCTTCCAGTATGAGTTGAATAACATTTGTCCTGTCGCAATTGGCTAACAATATTCAGGGCATGCCGACTCCTTCATGGATGTGCCGAGACTAAGCACACTTCAGGCGCTTATGTTGATCCTGAAAGCCAGGGAAGCTGTACCAAAACGCGGTTATTACTACCGTTCATGGATGAGTATCGTCCAATGCGTTCAAATGGCGAAAGATCTGGGATTGGATGAGCACTACTTCGATCATAAAGCAGGCCGGCCCTGTGGGTCAAATCCATCCGAGTGCCACCTCAAAAACAGAATTTGGCAGACTATCTTTGTCTGTGAGGTGATGATAGGATCCCCCCAAGGCAGGTGTAAATCGCCCCTTCAATGTTGGTATTCGCTAATAAGACAGGCCGCACTGACCTTGCCGTGGAAATCGAATCGGTTGACGTCAGCGTCCCGAGACCGCTGGCAAATGGCGATGAGTCCGAGTATCACGTATCTCGGAATTTCACATACTTCGCTCGAGTGGTCAGGAACATCGGGCGACTGAACAAGGTCTATGCCCGAGTCAAAAGGAACAAGGATTGGGGTGTCGACCCAGAGTTTGTCCAGTTGAACCCTTCGTTCCACGCCTGGTTGAACGACCTCCCCGCGGATCTGTCTGTGAACTTCCCACCGGATGGATCTCCGCCGTGGCTACCTTCACCATTTATTGGAAATCTACATTCTTATTATCATTTGAGTATAATCCTCCTTCATCGGCCTCAGCTGACCTTCCTCGAACCGACCGGCGTTGATGGTCAATGGAAGCAGCATATGTTGCTGTGTTACAATTCGGCAAAGTTACTTTGCAGGTTACAGGAATCCGTGCTCCAGAATTTCGGCTTAGGTGCGCTCCAGTGCATGCAGCGTGGCATCAACTTCACCATCTACTGTGTGCTTTCTTGCATTGTTCTGCATCTGGTATGTCATGCCTCGATTTACGTCTTCGTACTGTCCTTTGACTAATGAAACAGGTTGCTTTGACTTCTCCTGATCCCGATCTAAGCTCAGATGCCCGCGAGTACTTCACTCGTCACATGCGGATCTTGGAGAAGTGCATGAGCGCGTGGCCTATGCCTGACATGCAGAGACAGATCGATGCCGTTCGCGAGGCTTTCTCCGCTGATACACGGAAGCCCTTTGTCTTGAAGCCTAGCTTTCCGTATGGCAGTCCCCACTCGGGCACTCATCCAAGTCCATCAGGTCCCAGTCCAGGTTTCCGACCCGCCCTAGGCCGTACCGGCTCCTCGATGGAGCACCAAAGGATAGATACCCAAGCTGCCGTACAGCATTCGCAAGTTAGTTACACCGGCCATCCCATCTCCCCGCCGATTTCGGCAGGCCCAGTGGACAGCAAAAGTGACTCGCCTGCTGTCCAGTCTCTTGTCATGATGGCTTCCGGCCAGGCAACCCAGGCACCTGCTATGCAGCAGGCAATGTCTCTTGCGGATGCCCCAGGGTGGAATCCTTCGCGAATATTTGAGTAAGAATGCACCTCCTTTTGTTTGTTCTACAAGCAGCTAACGATGATAATCAGCCAGTGGAACACGTCATTTGGTACGCCTCAACTTCAATCTCAGCCGAGCACAGAAGCTCCTACGAGCAGTCCTCTAAGCAATATTCCCTCTTCAGGTGCCTCCGAAGTTCCCACCCTCTCGGACATACAAGCCGTACAAGCCACCTTGCCTCAAGCGCAGCAGATTCCGTCTCACCAATATTCGGCTGCCCCTGTCCAGACTTTTGTGACCCCAGCCATGTGGCAGGAATCCGTTGCTAGCGTATACGAAGGCGGCTTGAAGAGGGCATGGGACTACGACTCCAATGCTATGTCCATGACGAAACGCAGATGATGATACGATTTTGACGCAAGTGACATGATTTTTGAGTTTCTTCAATCACATTAGGCACGGAAGAAACAATGGTTTTTTCGTCGGTTCCGTTCGAGAGACAATATCCATCCCGTACACGAATCATTCGATGGACCAATTGTGTTCTTACCTGCTGGCCTTCAAACCTTTAGCTGCGAGCATTTGAGTTTTTCTGGATTTCGTGGCCATATGCTAACGTGTACATATTGGAGACATAAGATGGGTTTTGAGGCTTAGTGAGATTGGTGCGAAGCCGTCTTATACGAAGGCTATGACTCTTTGTGCTTAACGATGCGGAAGGGCACATGACGAACATGTCTGGGAAACATACGGAATCTATTACAGCGCGGCAGGGTAACAGGGTAGTGCTTCGTGCTGGCGTTCAGTGGAGAAACAAACGTTTTCTTGGGATGCACAAAAGTATCGGGGCAAGAAACTGCTCTTTCTTGCTTCTTTCATTGGATAAGGGCTTCTTTGTCATCTGTACGATTATTTACTCGAGGGATTTTGCCCCGACCCGTCATGGTACGGTCTTTGCCTGGGCTTTGTATAACATCAAATGAAGCGTTTGCTATGGTCTGGAAAACTGCTGCTTTGCCATCCGTATTGTGATCAGCGTGGTGAAGAAGATGCCCATTCGTTGCCCTTTGCTTTCTCTTCCTGTACATTATGCCGGTAGATCATAGCAACTCATTGTGGTTTCTTAATCGGCCAGACCAGGGGTTCGATGGTGGAGCCACTTCAGGGATAATCAACCCCATCTTTTCACGGCATTCGACCGCGTGCTTCCGCACTTGAAGTGCGGTAAGCGACCGTTACAAAGAACAGCGATCATTGCTGAAGATGTTCAGATCGACGAACATCCCGCAAGTTTCTAGCTCCGGACTTCCAGGGGCTCTATTGATAGCTATGGGCATCTCGTACTATGCCATGGCGTTCTCACTCGTTTACGGCATCATGTTGTACAGGATGTATCAGGATACAGCTTCCCCTCATCTTTGTCAGGGGTCGGCGATGCCGCTCGCTTCGGCTATCGTACATGGAGGCCACAGAAATCTGACATCATCAGAGCACCTTCTTGCCTTCTTATCATCCCCGTCCGCGCACGCGCAAAACCCATGCTTGCATGCCAGGATTCTGCGCATGGGCTTTCGGTGTCTCCGGCGAAGAGTGAGGGCATGTGCCCTGCCTCCGCCGCCGACTCGGACATAGCTAGTTAAATATGTTGGTGTTGTGGGTATCTTAAACCTGAACATCGGCGCAATGTTCGAGCGAACATTCTCCGGTATAGAGATGCTTTGTTTCTCAGATTGTCAGGATACCAGTAGCTCTTCTCTAGTCCGGTGACCGATAGTTTTGGGTAAGTCTGTGCCGTAACCTAATTCTTATTGCTGGTCCGCAATGAGTCTCAGGAGTTGTATCGTGCTTGACGGCAGTTACGTGAGACCCGAGCACAATGTTCTAAGCAACTGGGCTGAGGAGTTCGTCATGACACGGGCAAACTATTTCCTAGCCTGCTGCTGCTCCTGCCGTCTCGCAATGCCATCGGCGACCTCCCTCCAGACCCAGCCCTCCTTGGCATCCGCGGTCCCCGACGACGCTCGCTGGATGCTGAAGCGGCCGACGGCGCGGAACATCCACCAGGGCCGGGCGGCGTTCTCGAGCGCCGTGTCGCGCACGTAGTTGACGACGCCGAGGCGCTGGTGCGCGGGGCGCAGGTCCGACACGGTCATGTCGCTGACGCGCGGCTTGCCGATCATGTTCATCGTCGTCACCTGCAGCCGCGTGTTGGGCGGCATGGTGCGCGCGAAGCGCTGCAGCACCTCGCGCGAGTGGCGCGCGTACGGCGGCAGGCGCAGGTGCACCCAGGCCACGAAGGGCGAGGTGGTGTAGGCGATGATGAGGAGCGGGATGGTGCCGCAGAGGAACACTGGGGGGGGGAAGGAAGCATTAGTCTGGATGCTTTTGGTAGAATGAGGGAATGGTGTCGCAGAGGGGAGTGACACTTACCTCCCGCGGCTTTGAGAAGCTCATCTGCTGATATGTACGCCGGAGTGACGACGATTGTGAAGAAGCAGAACACAAATATGGTTGTGAGCTTGAGGCACGCGAGAAACGTTGTCCGTCCCGTGCCGGCATGGTAGATGATGAGTCGTTCAGGGAAGACTGTAACAACGCGTCAGAATATAGGCATCAACAAGGCTTATGAGACGAACATACTTGGTTTCTTCCCTGGACTCGCTGCCGTTGAAGCTCTCCGAAATGCTATACGTGATGTATTTGTTACTGAGAAGAGCTTTGCCGATGTTGATGAAATTGTCGAGCATCTTATATTTCGAGGAATGACTGTCGCTCGACTCCTGATCAAAGCAATTGGGAGCCGCCGACAAGCACTGAAGCAGAGCATCTTGCGCAAGAATGCTTTGGATATGCGATTCCCGTGTGGCTGATTGCTTTAGTTTGAAGAGGCTCAACGTGAGGACCGATTGTAAGAGGTCGAATGGTGTTGAAAAATCCAATGGTTCTAAGAACAGGTGGCCCAAGCTCCCGGGAATCTAGACTAACAACGACAGAGGCGCTCTACCACAACTTTCACCCCCAGTTGACATCAAGTATGTATTAGTCTGATGTTGACAAATGATGTGCATATTTGGAGTCATAAGAATAGTAACAGTATCTGTTGATTATTGTATGAAGGGTTATTACCTTTATTACCTTATGATACCTAAAACGCTGGCCGAATACTTTAGCGTGAAGTTGTTTACCATCGTGCGTTCGCCTAAGGTAGCCGGTAGAATAAGTAAAATGTTGATTTGAAACTAAAGGAACCACAAACACGGGTAAAGATAACTCCAAATACGACTCGTGTAGATAACTTCATAGGTATTATCATTGAGCTTTCATGATGAATTGTATTTACAGAATCCCGGTCAATTTGTATACATGCCATCCAACAAGCACTTTGTCATATTCTGCATGTCATCAACCATCGTTGTGAATATTTTGTTTGGACAATGACCCAACGTAATGTTTCCGAAGATACTGAACTGGATATGTGATTGGTGGTGGTTTATTTGGCGATGCAATGGCATTATTACCATTGCCGATGTCCTGAGCAATGCGAATACTGTATGACCTATATCTCTGGGCGACAACTTGCATGTATTCTGGCGGAGTAGTAGTAATTACATTAGCAACGTTTCTAATGGCGTTGATGAGGGAAAAGAAGACTGCTTGTGCCAACGATTTCGGTGTCACAAGCAATATGCTGGGAATGTTGGTGTAAACTCTATGGAGGACATGCAAGAGTTCCCAGCACTCTGCTGTAGGTGCAGCGTCTATTGTATCGCGGATACTTGCGATGCACAAATTCAGTAAGTGTTCACGCCACTCAATTTTAGGCATGTCCGGCGAAGTGCACACTGCGGCCTCGAGAAGATTGGGAATTCCCAAAGTCAAGGCGGTAGACATTGCTTCAACTTGTTCTTTCGAGCTCGGTGTGGCGGCAATGGCGTTGGCAATGGCATCGATCGCTGAACCCACACGTCTAGTAGCGGCCGGTACCTCACAGTGGTAAGAGTGGTACAGCAACTGACACAGCGCAAATGGCATCAAGGATGGCGATGACACTGCTAGCTGGTCCGCAAGTACTACCGACTCCTGCACGTAGAATGTTGTAGACTAGTGGATCACCTAAGGGAGTTTTGATTACAATATAGCGGAGGAGTAGCAGGCTTTTCGTGTACTTGGGACGTAGTATGGCTCGTAGAGTCGTATATTCTGCTCTGAGACGCTTCATAACTGTGCAAGGAGAAGATAGGTCTCAGCCCGCCCCGGAATCGAGGTTTGTCCTTGTCTCGAGTTTCGCCATTGGCGACTCTTGATCGGTCGTTGTTGCTAAATCCTCCCTGTAGCTGTTAGATGGCCAGGAAAGATGCTCGAACATCATGAGAGACGTGTCTTTGTTGTAAAATGGATCTCCAGCTTGGTTGTTCAGCTCATTTTGCGCCTTCATTTCGAAATTCAGGATTAAGTATGTGCAATAGAAGAGAGGAATTTGGCTTGTCACAAATCATAACACCTTGGGAAGACGATGATGTCGGTGACTTCGAGGGGTTTTCGGGTTATAATATGTAGCAGCGGCTCTCTTATAGGCTGTAAAAAGTTATGCCAAACCTTGGGAGAAAGACTCATGGTTGAAAAGAAGACATATCCAAATTTTGGATAACCTGGAGCATCTACTGTTCCAGAACTTCTAGAATAAACTTTCGAACCATGTTCCTCCACTTGTTATCCAGACGGCAGCAATACATGACCCCTAAACACCTTTTAAGTCTTCAACAAATATTGTGTTTTAGTATGACACCCTCCTCATAGAGGGTCGAGATCGATTTACCCTGCTGTTGGTTGCGGCTGGTAATAAACTTATCACTTCGTCTTTGGGCTTGACAGGTGTTTATTACCAGAAACCGTAGGTCATAGTATACAACATCAGGTAAGTATGGATTGCGCTACGAGTACCAACCTTTAACAATAACACAAATATCACAACTGGGATTTAATACTTGGGATAGAAGATGGATTGTAGCTATGGAATCCTGATCAGTCTAACTTCAGTGCAAGAAATTAATATATCATCCATCGCCTACGCAACATTCTTCTTAAGCCAATCCAGCCACTGATCGGCTGTCCAGCCCGAGCTGATATCATTGTTCACAATGCCATCAAAAATGACAGTCGGACTAACATGCACACCCACCAGCCTCGCCGCCTTGATCAGCAGCTTCAGATCATTCGTGACGCCGTTCCCAACGTTCAAGCTGCCGTCGTCCGCCGCCGTCTCGGGGATCTGCAGCAGCTTGACGTACTCGGCCTCGCTGACGCCCGTGCTGCCGGCCGCCAGCTTGGCCAGCCGCGCATACGTCTGGTTGCGGCCCTCGTTGACGACGTTGACGTCAAAGTAGTCCTTCTGCGCCGCGAAGAGAGCCGCGCTGAAGTCCCAGAACTTGCCCGGCGCCAGCTTCAGCACCGCCACGCCCGCCTCGTGCACCAGCGTCGACGACGGGTGCCACGGCTGGATCTGCTGCCGGAAGATGACCTGCATCTTCTGCGCGAGGGCCGGGTCCGCGCGGATCTTGGGCGCCACGTCCGTCACGAACGTCTTGAAGAGCTCTGTTCTCGGCGTGTTAGTCTCTGTATGAGTGAAGAGGTCTTATGCATGGGTAACTGAGAGCTCACTTGCTGAGAAGGGGCACACATAGTCCAGGTACAGCTCGATTGTGTGCAGAGGCTCAAAGGACTCAGTCGGAGCCGGCGCAGCCGGGTCATCTTGGAAGAAGAGAAGCCGGTGGCCTTTGAACTTTGGTGCGAGGGCCATTATGTGATGATGATATGGTATAGATAGTCCTTAGGGTGTGAAAGTCTCCAGTCGAGTTTACAAGTGAATAGCAATCTGAAGAGAGATGGAAGCTTCTGCTTAGATGAATGTCAATGGCGTAAGTACGACGTCTTATCCGAGCCGTGCACGACGTGATTTCCAATGTGGATTACACCTTCAAAGGAAGCTCTGGCTATTGAGCTCATCATGGAGGGGTTATGCGCGGTGGGGTTTGTCAGCTGTGGTGGGGCACATGCTGATGACTTCACTATGCAGGTGACTGCAGAAGCTCTTGCGGCAGGCCGGGATCAACCTCCAAGTCGTGATAGTGATACAGTTGAATTATTGCTACATGACCCAAGACCTCAGCAAGTATTTGGTGTTTTAACACCCCCTTACATTGAGACGCCCGTCTAAAGAATTCTATTAATTAGTCCTCAGCTACTACCTGCTGGGAATGCTCCTTTTATGCCTTGTCCAGCCGTTAACCCCCCAAGTCTAAATGATGCTGTACCAGTCTAATTCATGCTTCGTGCTTCATACGCTCTAAACTCCTAGTGCATAACTCCATATCGTGTACGTTTGTTAGAAGCTGAAAAGCCCACTTCTCCTCTTCCCGAGAGGATAAACTATCAAAGCCGCAATCGAAAGCCCCACAGAAATGCTGATGGCGACTTGAATCACGCTGTAGAGAACCGTAAAAGCAGTGTCGTTGAGATCACCGGTCGAGCTTGTACTCGACGCGGTCTCATTACGGGTGATTTGATCTGCGCTTGTCACGCCGCTGAGCAGTGATCCTCCAGCGGCCAGGCCGGATGGCACTTGAACGAAGATCGCGGGTAACATGGCGGCAGCTGCCAGACCGTATCCGACTTGACGAGGGATGTGGGTCGTCGTGTGCGCCTTGAGATCTTCAGTGCTCTGTTCTACATCGTAAGCAGAAGAGTATGGGCCCAGAGGGTATGCAGGTTCATGAATCTTGCTGCCTCTCCTGAATCGTCTGACGCGAGGCTCAATCTGATACTCCCACAGGTCCAGGGCAAAATTCTCCACGTGGCGACCCAGCCTTGAATATAGATTTGCAAGCACGCCAATGGTCATCGCTCCCAGTGTGTTAGAAATCTGCGAACTGCCTTGGAAATAAGTGCTGGAGTAGCTGTTGACGCAGTAGCCAGCAAACGAGATAAACAGCATTACGGGCGTCTGCTTCCACTTTGCTTGATTCACAACACACAGACAGAGCGTGAAGAGCGGAACAAATAGCAGATACCAGTTCCTGTTCAGAGGATTTGTACAATGGACAGAGCTGGTCGCATTATCGTCCATATATCCGTACAGGACGGAGCCAATCGTGATTCCGTAGCCTAGAAACAGAGTGTATATTAGGGCATACACCATCCGCACGCTTCCAGATACAATATTGTGACTTTGAAGTTCGAGACTGCTGCAAAGAACGATGTAACCTGGGAGGATCAGGGCGATGGACGACTGCGCGAGTGCTGAGAAGCAGAACAACTCGCCATTTCGAATGGAACCGAAAGCCCGTGAGAGGAATGATGTGATGATAGCGGCAGTGATCTCGAAGACGTTTGAATACAATTCGTTTGATGGAGCCAGGACAAGCTGCAAGATGCCCAATATGCAACCCAAGAGGAAAGCAATTGGTAGGTCGATCCATCGCCCTTCGAAGGCGAATGGTGCTACACATACGGCTGCAAATCCGTAAAAGATCACCCGCATCCATTTTGGAAATTTGTCCTTTCGTGTCATTAACTCATCGACACGACGAGTCGCTTCGTCAACGCCAATGAGATCGTGGACCACCTCTTTGTATATCTCATGGCAATCACGCAGGCGACCAAGATCAACACCTTGTCCTGCACGGACAATCTTGACTTCGGTCGTGTGAGTACTGCTGTCGTCAAAAGAGATGATCATGCATCCTGGCAAGTACAAAAACTGCCCTTCGATTCCCAAGACCCGTGCTGACATTGCCATATAGGCTTCAAGCCGATGGGTCGGCGCGCCATACATCATGAGAGCTCTACAGAGCTTGACCAGGTAGCGATGACGGCTCAAAATTTCCGCGATGTGTTTAGTGATCTTGTACTCGTCCTCAGCACGGGCTTTGGCGGAGCCACCGTACCAGGAACCTCTCTTGTCCTTCTTAGCTTTTCTTTGCTTTTCTCTCTCCCGTTCCTGCTTCAACTTCTCCGAGACAGCTGTTGGCATGTCACGGGAGGATGCTGGTGCGGCAAGTGTAGTAGACGAGCCAATCAGCTCAGCAAGCGTCGAAGCCGAGTGGTGATTCCGGAGGGCGAACAGTCCAGTGCGTGGACGTTCAGTGCGAGGTGTGGAAGGACGATCGAACCGTGGGGTGGTAGGTGAAGAGCCGGGCGGCGAGCTTCGAGGAGTCCTGTTAGGAGTCCTGTTAGGAGTCCGTAGAAGGGGCGTCCCTGGAGCACTGCTCTCGCCGCTGCTGGTGTGCTTCTCATCTTGGTTATAGAGCTTCAGAAGTGATCCAAGGATGCCTCCACGATATTTCTGTGGCCGTGGCACATACTCAAGGTCGTGCGCAACTGGAGTCGCAGTACCCGACCGTGCACCAGATTCGTAGCCTGGGGAAGGGGCTACGCTGATAGCGTTTCTCCTCCTTGTATGGGTTCTCACGAGGTCGTTTGCAACTTCGCGAGCCCCCCTCCGTTGCCGAAGCTCGGCTCCCCCAGTGAGAGCTGAAGTTTCCGCATGCCCATCCAGCTCATCATCAAGAATGGGATCTGCAGTAAAGGCAGGCGTCAAAGCCCCTGGAGAGTACTCATCCAGATCAATGGAGGTTCTCGACTGATTGGCTGATTCGACGGAAATGGCAAGTCGATTTGCTCGGTTTCTGGCCTCAACTTCGGACCGAAGGGGCTGATCATAGAGAGCCTCCGTAGGGTGCTCCGGAACGGTCTGCTTGCGGAGGGCCGGACGGGGGAATGGCAATGGTCCAAGATGATGCTCTGGTTGAAGGATCTTTTCGAGAGCAGACGTCAGCTCGGCCCTATTGAAAGAGTCTCTGTTTCCAGGAGAGTCCAGGGGGCCATCGCCGGGTGTTCCTCCTCTGCTTCCTTGGGGCGGGGACATTGAGAAGTAATCATCTTGATTCTGTGAGGCGGCCACTGGTCCAGCCTGTGACTGTTGGTCGTTCAGAAATCCAACTCTCTTCTTCTCTTTGGTCTTTCCGGCGGCTCCGGCAACATTGATCTGCGACGCATTGTGGCTCGTGTCGCGGCTTGATTCTCCGTTATCCTCGCGAGACGACATGTCCTTTGATCTAAGCGAGTGTGTGTCCGACAGCGGCGTGAAGCTGTGACTGAGCACCAAATTGTGCCTTTGAAGGCGACCGTTGTTGTCGCCAATTCACCTTCACGCCGTGTTGGGGTTGGTGGGGGGTTAAATGGGGGGGAAAGCACTTCGGTGTAAGTCGAAGGAAATACGGCGTACACTCAACCGAAAGTTGGAGATGGCACCGGGTTGAGCGGCAGCAGCAGGTTGGGGTAGGTAGATATCAGATCAGCGTGAAGTGACTGACTGACTGACTGACGTCCGCTCAGGGTGACTCCACCCGCGTCCGCGTAACACTCTTGTTACTATGTAAAGCAAACAAGCAAGCACCTAGGCAAGAGAAGGGAGAAGGCAAGGAAGGCACGACTTGATGCTGGTGGAGACGTTCGAGCTTTCCCCATCGCACCCAGCCCAGCCCAGCCCAAGTATCCATAACTATTCATAAACATACCCAAGGTAGGTATCCATAGCTATCTTGGAAGCTTTCCCAAGAGCCCGAATGAGCAGGAATGGAATACGGGGGGATGGTACTTTCCCAGAATGCGGTGCGGCGGTGCTGGCCTCGAGTCATTGCATACCCATTTTTTGTTATCTTGTTAGTCTCGGAATATTGGGCCGGAGTGGAGCCGCCGCTCTCCTGGAAAAAATGGGAAACTGTAAATCGCCGCAGCGCTTGCGGTTTCTCTTCGCGGATGAGGGCCTCCTGGGCCTGCTGACGCGTGGGGTGTCAATTGTGTCAATTGTGCCATTGCCTATAGTCGGTGCTCTAGTCGTCTCCATTTCGCTGCACTTTTGCGGGTATGTTCTAGAAGCTCTCGAGCTGGGACGAATGGCTTTCACATGTTGCAGTGTCCCACATAGGTCACAGTCTGGAAGGGCTCACTCTTTTAGAGGAGCGGCTGTTGAACAATCAGCCTATATTGCTAGAATTTTTCCAATATCTAGTGCCGAGAGAAAGAGTGGTGTTCGCTAAGTTGAGGCGAAATTCGCCAATGCAGGTAGATAAGGTTTCCCGACAATATCCATCCCTTCTTCCCTGTACTGTACCTGGCGCGTGGCGTCGATTGGATTGGGTTGGTTTGGGATGCAGTGTCAGCTAAAAAAAAGTTTGTTGGCCCCTGTCGACGGGTGAGGTGCTGCAGTGCATCGAAGATGCGAGATATGGATGACGAAATTGACCAAATCTGAGCGAGGCCTTATCCGGTGTCTGCCAAACATTTGGACACGCACCGCAGCACTACTTCATGCCAGCGAAGATTTGCCGGGGGCGGGTTACCCAAACCGGTGTTCCGGACCATCCATTAGCTCCCGTCATAACTCTGACCCCTATCAGAACACTTGAACGCGACGCATTGCACAATCCTCAGGAGACCGTGTTCTTGGCCACGATTCCTCTCGCAAACTCGCCAAACGTGATGTGCTGATCCATGTCAACCTCCTCGCCAAGGTTGGGCTGCGTGAAGACGGCCAGGGTGTTGCGGGCGATCTTCCCATCGCTTAAAGCAGCGCGCGCCCCCCTGACGAAATGTGGAACTGCCTTAAACTTCCCGCCCGTGATCCGCTCCAGAGCCTCTCCCGTCTGGAACGCGATGCAGTCCCTGGGAATCTTGACCTGAACCGTCTCGCCAGTCCGTGACTTGATATATAAGCCTGCCGCCGGGTCTGGTGACTCTGGAAGCTCATCAAGTGGACGAAGTGACGGTGGTACTGACGGCTCGAACTTCGGAGCAACTGGTTTCGTCTTGCTCTCATCAACAAACATGGCAGACGTCAAGCCAGTCAGACATCCGTGGTCCAGATGCGTGGCACACCAATCATCCTCGTCACCGCTGTCACCGTTCACCGCGCTAGCACCCGCTTCCTCGGGGAAATAATGCAGAAGCCGGGCCTTGGTTGTGGTGGATGATGCGACCATGCGCTGGAGGTAGGCCTCTGGATATCCTGGTATCTCCTTCTCAGCGAACTGGTCACAGGCACCTGCTACTAACACGGCCACATCTATTATGAGCCGACACAAGTCCTCAAGAGCGGACTTGAAGCCAGGAAGAGTTGCTTCTTCTGGCCAGATGTTGGGAGACAGATATTCAGGGAAGGTCTCTTCCGAGAACTCCTCGGTGGGTACCGCGCAGGACAGCGATGGGTCGACATAGAATGCACAGTTCGCGTAAAACGACCCCTTGAGAGTGTCCACTTGGCCATTCTTCAGGGTCTCCTTGCCCAAGGACCATCCCGTCAGGTATTTTGCCTTCTCATTTTCGAGCTTCTCTGTACCACCATCAGCAGATGATCAGCCATGCAAGATAAGGAGCTGTCTTACCCAGATCGTCCTTAGACAGGTTACCAAGATAAGAAGAATAAGATAGCAGCCGGTGCCTTAGGTCCGCAAATTGCGGTGGGACATCTTTGACAACGAGGATGCCCAACGAGTCTGGCCCGAATGCTTGTTGCAAAGATTCAAACGAGACCGTGCCTAGATTCATGGGAACATCCGTTAGCCCACATCTCTATTTGCACTGACATAGCTCAGGAAGACAGCAGTTATGTAAATTTCGCACCTTTCTTGAGGTCTTCCAGAGAGACGGTAACGGCCTGGGCTATGGGCGCCATCACGATCATGCGATATGTGAAATTGAAAGCAGTGAGACCTGTGCTTAGCAGAAAAGCATTTGACCACGTTCTTATTCGTCGCACCTTCCGAACCAAGATAGCTTCGGCTTGTGATGGCCCTAGAGCAAGGTAACAGGGGTACTGGTCTTAGAGGGGCAGTTAGCGTTACGTAAGCTGGGCCAGTTGCAAAAGGTCCAAGCTTCCAATGACTTCAATTTCTGGTACAGCTGCGCAACACTAACGTATCTCACACCAACAATAACCCTGCCGATTCTTGATCTTCATATGTTTGGCGCGTTACTGCAACATTAGAAGCCAACAATGGTCAAGCCGCTCACGTTCAAGGGCGACAAGAAGGCGAAGAAGAGGAAGCGAACCGAGGGCGAAAAGGCTGCAGATGATGAAGGGAAGCAATTGAAGGCTGTCAAGACTGAAGAGGAGGACGATGAAAACGACGACAGCTGGGTGTCAGCCGAGGCAGTCACAGATGTATCCGGGCCAGTGATGATAGTCCTACCGTCGGAGCCGCCCACAGCTTTGTCATGCGACGCATATGGAAAGGTGTTCACCTTACCCATCGAGAACATCGTCGACTCCAATCCGGAGACCGCTGAGCCACATGATGTCCGGCAGGTGTGGGTTGCAAACAAGATCTCAGGAACAGAATACTACCGCTTCAAGGGCCATCAAGGGAAGCTTTTAAGCTGTGACAAGTATGGCATTCTGTCCGCCACGACCGAGGCAGTCACTCCGCTCGAGTCTTTCGTCCTCATTGCTACCGCCGACACGCCCGGTACTTTTCAAATACAGACCTTACGGGACACCTTCCTGACGGTGAAAGCATCCACATCATCTAAGGCTAATGCCGCGCCCGAAGCCCGTGGCGATGCAACCGACATCAGCTTTGATACGACAGTCCGCATCCGTATGCAGGCACGGTTCAAACCTCGCATCAAGGCGACGAAGGCAGAGAAGGCGAATCAAAAGATCAGTAGGGCAGAGCTTGAGGCGGCAGTTGGTAGGAGGTTAGAGGAAGACGAGGTTAAGATTCTGAAGAAGGCTCGACGGGAAGGCGATTACCATGAAAGGCTGCTCGACATAAAAGTCAAGAACAAGCACGACAAGTTTGGTTGAGAAGAAGGATTCTCTCTGCAAGAAAATTGTCCCGAGTCTGTCGGATGGCTTGTCCGACAAGAGACTAGCACTTGATCCTCCGTAGGGACAACAGGGAAGCCGGATCCATGACACAGCGGGTAGCATCAGTCTTTATCAGGCGGTGTTGAACAAGGTGACTTGGCAAGAGGTATATATGCAACGCTTCTGTCTTCAATTTGGCCGCCAGGACTTGATTTGACCGTCTTCTCCAGCAGTAAATACCAGCTGTTCGTGGTCAGAAAAGCAGAAGCTCCGAACCAGCTCCTCGCCATGAGCCCCTGGAAGGCCGACGACCGTCTCCGCATCAAAGCTCCATGCACCATTCTTGGTCATGTGTATTAGCTGAAATAGTTGTTGACTAGTGATAGTGTCAGCTTAGGATTGAGACGCATATTATCGGCCATACTCACTCTTGTGCTCCTGCTCCGACCACAGCTCCACTTCCGTTCGACTTCGGCGTGACATTTGCAACGTATTGGCACTTGAGAACCTCTCGGATATCGCCAAAGTCGTTGGTGGCAGAGCCTTTCTCTTCCTCCTCTGCCGTGTCATATATGGCAAATTTCTCATCGTGTGACAAAGCATAGACTTCTGTGTTATTTAAGAACCCTGCATGGTGAACAGAGCCGTGGTTGAAGGCCTGGATGACAACTTCGTCTTCATCCGCAGTCCTTGTGTCGGAGACGTTCACTAGACCATCGGTGGAACCAGACAATAGTTTCTTGGCATCACTTGGGTGGAAGTTCAACTAGCGATGTAATGTTAGACGAACCTATAGACGATTTGCGTAATAGAACTTACCTCGGTCACGTCGTCGCTATGAATTTCATTGTACTGAAGCCATGGACTTGCGCCCTTGCGAACATCCCTGGCCCTCGTCAACATATCTCCTTGGTTTGAGTACCACGCAAGTAAATACTCACCACAATAAGACTGAGGCTTGATGGTTCGTGAATTCTGTCCCCGCAGCGACTGTGTCGGTTGAAACGGCACATGCTAACGATAGCACTGGTGCTTGACTTCCTATACTTCGTCTTAGCTATGTTCAGAAATTTGAGCAGGGAGCGAGCCTACCGCTCAACTGCGCAACCTGAGCGCGGGACGCATCGACTCTAAGATCCCATAGTGATACTGATCCATTCTCCCCAGCCGTGCAAACGATTAAATTTGACGGGTCGAAAGCCTTTGCGGCTTTGATGTTTCCGTGATTTGTGCTGACGGCATTGAGTGGCCCTTTTCGCAGACTGAGAGGATTGAAAAGTGATAGCTTCTGATCTGATGAGATTGCTGCTAGTCCTGAGGATAAAGGTATTATCTCAAGAACATACAGCATCTCGCGGATAGTATAGCGGTAGGACTCGGCGTTTGCAAGTATATACATCCTGCTTGCTGTTGACGGATTCCGGACTTAATATGCTGTGTAAGTGAGGTGGGGGCGGGGAGTTGGTGAAGCCCCAAAACTCGGCCTTGGAGACGATGAGGATATATCAGCCTCCTATCTGAGAAGATGTGTTCATGGACTCTTGAGTGACGGACCCGTCGCTAATTGGCGCCTGTTTGATATGCTTTCCTTCAATCTTATAGGTATGATTGGGCTACAGCATGAGACGGCTAGATACGTCAACTTTTTTTTTTTGAGCGGTATGTCTCCAAGTCTGCGGGTGTTGCAGATGGGGCCCCACCAATGACCAATCGGCCGCTAATTAGGTGCATAGTCCACCATGTATCCGCCATCGAGCTTAGCTGATCTGGCCAGCTTGTAATTCCCACGACACGACAGCTTGCCTCAACGAGCTTCGATCCTCAACACTACCACCTCATACTAAGGAGGCACACTCTGTGGAGGAATATGTTATGATTCATTGATATGCGCACTGTTTATTGCGCCGCTTCCAGCCCGTCATGATCGGTTTCATCTACTTATCGCTGCGTACGTTGTTCTTGATCCCCGTGGTATCTGCAAGAGCTAATGTTGATACCGTGCAGTGCTGTTGCAGGCCCTCTCCGTAGGCGCCGCCGAGCAGAACGATGACACTACTACATCAATAATACCAAATGGCCCGTCAGAGATTGTCACGAGCCACGATGCAAGCCATACGTACCGCGAACCCGGGGCGGACCACGTCGATCTGGCTCTAGCAGAGCTGCGAAAGATACATCAGACGACACATCATAAGCGACGACGGAAGTCCGGCTTCCTTGGGACAATTCTCAGCTACGCGTGGAAGGCTGTTCCGAGCCTGCGTATCAGCGCTCCACCACAGGACACACCGGCGAAGGCAATTAGCGGACCACTTCTCGAAGCTGTAAAGCATCTCGAGACCGCATCGCACAAGAACAACTCGGATGCGCTGTACTTACTCGGTCAAATCAACTTCTACGGCAACTATTCGCATCCAAGAGACTTCAAGAGGTCTTTCAATTTCTACCAGCAGCTTGCAACCCTGAATGGAAACGGCTCAGCGTTATATATGCTTGGGTTCATGTACTCGACTGGCGTGGGAGGAGCTGTTGAACGCGACCAGGCGAGAGCTCTGCTTTACTACACATTTGCAGCTGTCCGCGGTCACACCAGAGCCGAGATGACCGTTGGGAATCGTCATCATGTCGGTATCGGCACACCGAGGAGCTGTGAGTCGGCCACGAAATACTACAAACGAGTGGCCGACAAGGTTATGGATTGGTACCGGTCTGGCCCCCCCGGAGGCATGGCATGGGCGCGTGAGGCATCTCGAGTGGCGGATGACCTCGGAGGCATTTACGGTGAAGGTGCCAGTGTGTCCAGTTCGGGAATCAACGCCATCCGTGCCTCGCCCAATTCTGATGCCTATGCGTCTATCGAGGATATCATTGAATATCTAGATTTGATGTCGAATAAGGGCGACTTCAAGGCGTCTTTCAATCTTGGGCGCATTTACTACGAGGGCCAACGCGGTCTGGACCGGGATCTCTCTATGGCCAAGAAATATTTCTTTATGGTAGCTAAGAAGTACTGGAAGAGCAATGGCCGGGTTGACGAGAACTTCAAACCGGGACTAGACAAATACGCTGCCAAGGCTGCAGGCTTCATCGGCCGCATGTACATGAGAGGAGAGGGCGTAGAGCAGCACTTTGATCGTGCCAAGTTCTGGTTCGAACGCGGTATCTCCCATGGTGGAGATGCACAGTCTCAGTACGCTCTGGGTCTGATGCTACTACATGGCTACGGTGTTGATAAGAACATTGCCAAGGCCACCGAGCTTTTCAAGGCATCGGCTGATCAGGACTATGCGTTCTCCCAAGTGGAGCTGGGCGTGCTCTATTTGGATCGAGGCCAACCAGAAGATGTTCGGATCGCCAATGACTACTTTGAGCTAGCTGCGAGATATCATCACATCGAGGCCCAGTACTATCTTGCCGAGATGATTCACTACGGCATTGGACGCGACAAGGCTTGTGCGCAGGCTCTTGGATACTACAAGAGCGTGGCTGAAAAGGCTGAGCCGCTCGTCTCATCGTGGACAGAAGCCAATCAAGCGTACGATGATGGGGACCATGAGCTTGCCCTGCTCGGCTATCTTCATGCTGCTGAGGAAGGTTATGAGGCAGCACAGAACAATGTTGCGTATATGCTCGACCCGGATCAGTCCATACTGATCAAATGGCTGGATCAAGCAGCCTCACAAAAGCCACATGTTCTCCAAAACCCTTCACTTGCGCTAGTGTATTGGACAAGATCATCCAAGCAAGGTAACATTGACTCCCTGGTAAAGATGGGAGACTATTACCTCAACGGTATTGGGACAGAGCGTGATGTCGACAAAGCGGTCCAGTGCTATACTGGGGCGTCTGAGTATCACCAAAGTGCACAAGCCCTCTTCAACTTGGGCTGGATGCACGAGAACGGGGTGGGTCTAAACCAGGATTACCATCTCGCCAAACGCTACTATGATAACGCACTCGCTACAAATGATGAGGCTTATCTCCCGGTGACCCTGAGTCTCCTCAAGCTGCGCATGAGAAGTGCGTGGAACACATTTACACATGGCCGTATCAACTCCATTCAGGATGAGCCTTGTACGTTTACCGAACATATACACCATGATAATCTGCTAATTGATCTATAGCTAAAAAGAAGGAGTGGTCTTTGAGCGAGTGGGTTGCCAACTTCATCAAAGATGAAGGAATGTATTATGAGATGGAGTTCGACGATATTTATGACGATGCAATGCCGGGTGGGGATGGGCCACATATTACAGGAGAAGACGATGAAGGATTCATGGATACCATGATCATCATGGCGCTAGCTCTGTCTCTTGCTTTCTTCATCTATTACAGGCATCAACGAGAGCAGGCGGAGAATGCTAGGCGTCGACGAGAGCAACAACAGGGAGGCCAGAATGCCCCCGAGGCTGCTCCACCAGCTGCACAGAACAATGGTGGTCTTTTCCCTCCTCCTGGAGACCCCAATTTTGCACAATGGGCTGCAGGTGGTGTGGGACATTGAATGTAAGCTCGGGGAAAAGGCATAAGAACCGCTGTAGTTATGTATGTAGTTTAGCACTTTTCAATTGCATTCAGGAATGGCGTTCCGGGGTACCCCATAGCTAGCGCCACAACACATTGTGGCGTTAGCTACTTAGATGGAGTAGGCAGAGCTTCGACAAACAGCCGCTAATGCACCTGCCGCGGGAGTTCATTCACCTTCAAGGTTCAACCTGCATCTTTTACCTTCGACACGCTTCATCTCTTTTCTTCGCCCGATAAAGAATGTGCGAGCAGTGAATGCAATATTGCATTGTTTTAGGTATTTAAATACTTGTTTACCTCCCATTCGAAGATCTTCCCCGCTACTCCTCGCAATGTCCACACCCGCCTCGAAGAAGCGTCGTCTAGATACAGCGAACGCAACCCTTCGTCGGCCATTTACCTCCCCTATTATCAAGCGCCCCAAAGCCACAGAAGACCCTGCTATTAGCAAAGCACCTCATCCATTGAGTTCAAAGGCCCAGAACTCACGTCAGATCATCGAAGCTCTCGATGAGAAAATCCACGATTCTCTAGACGACTCACCTATCGCGTCACCACAGAAAGCGCACAAAACCCATAATTCCCCTAAGCTGAAGTCTCCTGTCCTGAGTCACACAGAGAATCCCCTCCTATCCCTTGTCGCACAGCACAAGAAAGAACAGATTCAGCGTCTCAAGCAGCTGGATCAGGAGCTTGAGATGGTGCGCCAGGCACAGCGCATCGTGAGCCAGTCCAAGAGCAAGCGCCCTGGTGAGCCAGTCGACCAAGAACTCAGGGATCTCATTGGGAAGTGGCAGTCTGGAAGCAGACAGGCCGCAGAGGAGCTCTTTGTGATCGTCAAGGAGAGGGTCTCCAAGTATGTTGCTTGTATTTCTTTGAATTGGTCACCTTCATCTCAGATTTTGCTGACTATGTGGCTTAGTGCTGGCGGTATAAAGGCATGGAAGGAGATGCAGCAGAAGCAGAAGCAGTTCTACCAGGGATTTGACGAGGCCCCCATGCCTCGTCCACAAATGGGCAGTCGTGATGAAAATGCCGAGATTCCTGGCAGCGACGATGAACCAGATGACAACAGCCTTGCATCCTCAGAGATGCACCCAAGCACTCAGGAGAGTCTGGAGGAGGCTGATGAGGTAGAATGCCTTACCCTTGCTACCCCATGTGATTTCAGCTGACTTTTTAATAGGACTTTGATCTATTTGTAATGCTACGAAGCTTGCATATTGATCCCACACTCCTAGGGTTATCCTCAGTATAGATAGACTTGTTTAACTGGGCAACCAGCCTTTGACTTGGGACCCAGCATTTAACTGGTCACCCAGTATTTCACTGAGTACCAGAGTAAACTGGGAAACCAGCATATAATGCTCCGGGCAGACACGGTCTCCCTCGGGCTAGCTGGTCAGACCATAGCCTTCTGGCCGTTAGGTCTAGTCAGCCTGTTTTCCAGTGCTTCGATGGCGCGTTCCCGAAGGTAGCTTTGCTCTCACATTCTCATTTACAAGCAGCCTACCCGTTTCGTATCATTGACATGCATGCTGAATTTTTTCTAGATCAACTACGATAAGCTGGCCGATATCGCCGGCTTCAAGAACGCAGAGTCCGTTTCTGCCTGTTGAGGCCTGGTGAAGAAGAAGCTCATGGCTCTTGGCGAGGCAGCTGCCGCTACCAAGGGCGATGCGAACAACGGACGCCGGTTTCCTGCAAGATGTTCTGTATGTTACCACTCATACAATAATGTGGCTTTCCCTCGTAGACAGATAATACTTAGACAGCCTTAACAGGAGAAGATAGTTCTGGCCCTTCATCGACCAAGGGCGTGTCTGTGGCTGTATGATCTCTGCAGATTCTTTGCTTTGTTTTTATATATACGCCATTTTCGAATGACCATTTCAATTAGATGGTTGTTTAACCTCTTCACGAGGATTGCTTTGTAAAAATCGACATAAATGTTGAACCAAGATATAGGATGTACTGACTGATGTAGATTAAGCCAATATCTTGCAAACAGCTACCTGCTGGAGTGTCTGGGTTGGTAAGGTTACTCTTGCTTTGGGTCCTCACACCCTTGACACTCTGCATGAGACAGATTATATTCTCGCTCCTGGCGGATCCACAACCGAAGAGAACCCGCCCAAGCTCACCAAGAAGGAGCAGTTGCTCAAAAACGACTTGGCCACTCCGCAACTCCCCGAGTTGCTCAAGGTCGGAACACTAATGCCGGAAGAGGACCTGGTGCGGAAGTACGAGACGATGACAAAGCCAACAAGGCGGTCTCGAACCTAACCATGCGTCACCATGACACAGGAGTCGACCCCAGGGCGTTGAACCCCCTGTTGCTATACTCCGATCGATCTAAGTGAGTGAATACCCTTCACTTCTCATTCCATAACTGAATACTTCCTGCTCAGTAGATCTAACCTGTCCCCTAAGCTGGGGTTTAACGCCAAACGGGCGACGATTGGTACGTAAGTAGATACAATCTCAACTAATTTTCCCATTCTAACATTAGTATCAAAGCGTCCGTGGCTATACCAGGCGTGTGGAGCGTAAAGTCATGAAAGAATAGAGTTGTAGTTTACTAGGCGCGATTGAGATAGTCGAGCACACCCCCACTACTCGTCGATATCGTTCGCAGACGTTGTTCTACGACTCCCCAAGTAATGCGGGACACAATTCATCCCTCCTAGAGTCGCCACGCGCTGCTGGGTGTTGGAGATATCGTGCAGTGTGCCAGAGTTCATCTTCCCCTTGCAACTGTACCTATCTCGAAGGGGTGATACTAGCCGCGTATGAAACTCCTCGTCCTCATGATAAACATCGACTAATACCTAGTTTTAGTGTGCGAGAGCCTCGTGGTGACCGCTCCCATCAAGCAGCCGTGACACGTGAGTTCAGCAAGTATCATATCAACTTCATTAAGATCCGATGAAAGATTGTTGAGTGTCATTCTGGCGTGCACTCAATGTCAAACACTGGACGCCACAGCAGCGATGATTACCTAAGGTACGCGTTGTTGGGATACGGGACAAAGAGCCATGATTCTGGCGCATCTCATGCCAAAACTGGCCTCTTCAACGCCAGTTCCTGGCTTCCGGTTGTCCCAGACTGGTTATTGTTAGCTGTTGTGCTGTCCGACGCAGCTGCTGTATTCATCTCGGCGCGCGATCTGAGTATTCGAAACCACCACATGCACCCGTACTTCTTATCCTCCGTCGGCAATTCTAATGGTGGGTGTGTAGAGATTCTGGGCTACGCGAGTCCAATTTCAGAGCAGCTGTCTTCATAGCACGCCTCCTCTTTCAGCTCATCGATATCGGTTGAGGGGGCTTCGGCTTTGGTGTCACTCGATGTCAGCGCGAGGCTTCCCCTCGTCGCGGACTGGATATTTGGTGAACACTGATCATACCAGCATATCAGCATGATGATTCAGTCGGATACTCTCGTGCAAATACCTTCGACGAATAATAATTGGGTTGCCCCTTTTTGGTCATCGGAGCGGAACCTGCACACTTTTCATACGCAGTCTTCAACAGCACCAGAAACACCTCTTGGCTGCATTTCCTTCCGAGGCATAGTGGACTCAACCAACTCTTTTATCCTCGGCCTCTGACTGCATATGACAATCGCCAACTTTTGCAGTAACGGCGACAACGATAAGAGCAAGCTAAGGAGTCTGGTCTCCTAGAGTGTGACTTAAAGCTCTTCATCAGGCAGTTCGCCTTGATGGATGTGATGAACAAGAACATTGCGGTGGTTTTCCGGGAGAATGACCTTCATTCCGTGGCAATATGGGACAGATAGATGCCTTGAGGCTATTGCTAGTACCAAGCGGCTGATTGTGTATGTATACATTCTCTTGCAGATTATATATCGAACGAGGTTAATTGAGTTGGCAATAGAGAAACCGGTGTCTACTATCTTCACGGCCATCGCTGAACCATGACGTCGACATGATGTTGTAGTGCAGCCGGTCCAGATTCACCCATGCTGGCGATGGTCAGTCGTTGGATGAACGTCTATAAGCTTACACAGTCGTGTAGTTCCACCATGCCTGAGACAGGGAGGGTTATAACACTCCCCGAGGGCCAAGGCGCGTTTGATGACTATTTTGACGAGATACGAGGTAGTCATTGAGGCTGAACAAGCTCTCAACGACAAGACCACGCCAGTTGGAATCGAGCTGAGCACTCCTAATCTTCCTTTCAATCCGTCGTCTCTCGGTTTAGCTATCAGCAAACTGTTCGTCGTGTAGCCTTTACCCACCGGCGAAAAGTTATCCTGGTCTCAACATGGGTATAGGAGGAGCCTCCAGAGCAAACGCGCTCTGGAGAGTATCTCTACAAGGAATAGAAGAACTGCGTAGTGGTGAGATCGGCAGATACATGAGCGACTCACCATTGCGGCTGCCCTCGAAGCCCTCGAAATGAGCGACGCGGGGACAAGCATCGCACCATTTTTGCACTGAAAAGTCGAGACAATGAACTTTGCGGGTCGCCCTGATCGAGGGCGGCAACGTCGAGTTCGTCTGAGAGTCGATTTCGGGATCTTTGGCCCTGCTTTTGGAACGCTCTAAGGGATTAACTGACTTTTCTCTTGTGTTCGAGAGAGATGGAGATGCATCTTTCAGCATGGCTCCCCGGTTGGTATGCCGAGGAAAGAGAAGACATCGGTCTGTCGTCTGGAGGCACCTAAAAAATCGTCGTAGAGAATTAAGATCTGTTTCAAGTGATTGGAAGAGCTCACCCTATCTAGTAGCAGACGTCACACTTTAGCCTCCCCCTTGAGTCCGGTCTGCTCGCCAGGAAGCGCGACGAGTCAAGTAAATCTGGCCAGCTCACCACAATGGGCTGACTGAAGGCATGTATAATGACAAGAGGAACATGTGGTAGCGTTGAACATCTGTGAGTAACTTTCTCAAAAGTGATTTATGGAGATGACTGACCTGTACGCTCAGTCTGTTCTTCGTCTTGTCTAATTTATATATACGCCATATCTTTGTTTTAGACTCAGCTACGAAAGCCGACGCTGAGACTCCTGTTGTTTTCCTTGTTAGACGTGACGATGAGACATCTAACCTCGTCGCCTTCACTAGAGGGTGACGAGGGTGAGTCGAAGAGATTCTTAAGTCGATCATATTTATGAACCACCCGGACAAGGCAGGTCTCGAGTTGTTAAGAGGATCTGGAGGGAGCCAGGTAAGTCTGGTGGTTGCCTCAGACCTCTTTCAGAATCTCACAAAGCATCTCAACTAGGCGCAACCCCTTCACATACTTTATTCAACACATCTAGGGCTGTCTATCTTCCGTTCGATCTGACAATCATCGACGAGAAAGACAACAAAATGTTGGACCAGATGAAGACGAAGGTCAAGGCCTTATTCAAGAAGGCTAAAAGCAAGCTCAAGATGCCGAGAAAGGGAAGACGGGCCGTCGAGGCCGAAGAGATGGAAGCCCGCGTATCAGCGGCGATTCGACGAGGGACCTTTGAGGTCGTGGCCGAAGACGCCCGTGGAGACGATCCGGGCCCTGCGGCGGTGGTGAGAGCGGCCGGTCGTCCTCCCAGCAGGGAGCGACCGCGCTGGTACCACCCCGGGCCGTATCGGTACCCGGCGGAGGCATTGGGAGGGCGGCTGTAGACCGCCGATGCTCTTGTGAGTGTTCCATTTCAGTCCCGGCTTGAGATTGGTCGATGTCTAGCAGCAAGTCGCATTGTTCTGCAATGCGAAACGAGCAGACACACGTCATGCTTCAGTCTCGATTCTGTGGCTTATCTTGTGGCTTTTATGAAGGCTGACGAAGACCATTGCAAGGAACATAGCTCTTTCTCTCCTTACTTCAAAGGTGATATCAAGGTGTAAGTGAAGTTGAAAGAACCCTCATTGGTCGTTTGATGTGGACAAGCCCGCTAATCTGCTGTTACAGGGCTGTTTCAGGTAAGCCGGAAGGGGAGTGGGCTTGCCGCAGAATCCAGCAGCGCCACACCCGTTAGGGACCGCTCGCTAGCGATGCACGAGAGCTGCAGTGGAGTGGCGACGGTAGTTGAACTGGGGGTTGGGTGGTGGTGTGCAGATTGCGGCCTCCCTCCCGCACATGTATACCTCCCTTTTTAAGACCGCGCGTTCGCTACGATCGTCCTGGCAGCGAGTTCTTGGCGTTTCTTTCCTCATTTTGCTGCATTCGCTGACGGCTCTGTCTCGTGCTTGCCAGATCTGCCACCATTCCAGCGCTTTCCTAGACTAATCAATTCCTTCGTATTTGTTTCCACGATACCCTCAACGCTTCTCGGCCACTACCACGCGTCTTTTTCTCCTTTGACGGCTCTCGTAGTTGATCTACGACGACGACCACGGCTAACATCATAATAATGGCGACACCTGTGTTGGCGCTCCGGCAGGAGACGACTGCTGGATTGACAGCGGCGACTGCGACTTCGACACATATTCCCGATGGTTGGGTGTGTGATAATGAGGGACGGTGCTCTCCGTTCTGGTATTCGAAAGTGAGTTGCTTGTTGTTTGGCTGCGGTCTTGCCATCACTAACAAAAGCTGCAGACTGGCTACATCGTAAAGTGGTCCGTATTTCTGGGGCTGTTCACCTTGTTCGGTTTGTATCTCATCCTTGGATACACCCACGCAAAGAAGAGAATGCGAAAGGGGCTGCCTCCTTTGGCATACCACAGAGTAAGTAATCTCATCGCGGCTTCCACCCTGTACCGTAACTAATGACGATCACAGTGGCTTGTCAGCAGATCGGAGCTCGCCCGTGTCGACCCTCGCTATGCGTACCCGCAGTCCAGCTATAACAATTACCGCCCCGATTACTACAACATGCAGAACAACATGCCCATGCCGCCCCCAGTCTACGACCCCAATGCGGCAAGACCACCCGTCTATGATGGTCCTCAGGGCGCTACCAAGACTGCACCTTCTCAATGGGGACAGCAACCTACCTATCGACCAGCAGACCAGCAAGCTGATGACTATGCTCCGCCGCCGGGACCTCCACCGGCAGTGACTGCCAACCACACTGGTACTCGGCCTTGAGGATCTTCAGTATGGACGAGGTGCTTATAATAAGCGAGTAACGAGACAGCAGAAGTTGGGAGGAGCTTGATTTTCGGGTTCTCGAGTTGCTTGACAGGCAAAGTTGCATCACGATCTTGGGTTGGCGACCTGAAATGCATATCATATGGATATTGATCCTTGACCTCGCCCTCTAGTCTTGCATCATCTCTACTCTCGCACAACCTGCAATGCACTCGCTCGTGGACACAAAGGGGACTGTGCTATCAGGAATAGACGCTCTTATATATAGCTAATCAAACAGAATCAATTCAATTCAAAAGACCAAAAGACTCACAATGCATACATGATGCCATGATATATATATAAGTCGCCCAAACACCTTGCTTTGAAAAATGATGATCCGTGTATGGGTATCTCTCGTGCCAACTTCCGGTTGACTATCAGTCAATCTCCATGGCGTCGGCGTCTTGTTCTCCTGCTGACATCCCCCACGGTGTCGACGCTTGCGGATATGTTGTGGCCACGCCGTTCGGTACCTCGGGAATGGTATCTAGTTGGAGTGGCCTGAAGCCGCCCAGAGGCGGCGTCTGCGCGGTGGGCAGCGGCGGCGAGGACGGCGCCTTGCTGGTGGCGGCGGTCTTCTCGGGCTCCTCGCCCTTCTGCCTGGCCCGTATGCGGGCGCGCGACTCGATGATGGCCTTGCGCACGCTGTCCTGCTCCTGGGGCACGGAGATGGACGAGGGCACGTTGTAGAGGACCATCTGCATGCCGGCGAGCTCGCCGTCGCTGTTGGGCAGGATGGGCGGCGGGATGGGCACGCGGTTGATGCGCAGGTGCTTCTCGATGTCGGGCAGGAAGACGAGCCTGCCGTCCTCGGCCTCGCTCTCGGAGGAGAGCTCGTCGTCGATGTTGTAGATGTACACCTTGTACTTGGAGTCGTCCAGCTGCATCATCGAGTCGTCGTCCTGGTTTACCGGTGGTGCTGCCGGCGGTGCCTGCGGCTGCGACGGCTGAGAGAGAGGGCTGCGGGAGGTCGCTTTGGGGTTCTCGACGGGGACGTACAGCTTGGAGCCATTCTGCTCTACACGGGGATGTTAGGCCGGGGGCAACAAAGACGCAGCGCATTTTAGGTGACATGAATGACATACCCAAATTGAGCAGGCTCAGCCTTTTGGACAGCCTCTCATTGTTTGCATCTTGAGAGTCGGCCTTGCGTTTGCGCCGCACTCGGTGGTGTTGCTGTGTTTGCTGTGTCGCAACAGCGGCCGGGTCCATCGGCGGCCGGTGGTACTGGTCTGGAGGGGGAGGAGTCGACGAGGGGCCGTGTTGAGAGACCAGCATCATTTTACTCTCCTTCAATTAAAAAACAAAAAACAAAAAGGGAAAAAAAGAAACCAGATCGCCCTCCGATGCGACAGCCGAAAGGGAGAGACAAGACAGGCCAATAGCAGCGTCGAGCGCAATCAGTTCGGGAAAGAAGTCACATCAAAGCGGTGTTGTATTGACAATTGAGGATTTGAGACAAGATTGGATGGGAAAGAAGAGAGAGAGAGAGGGTGACTAAGTAAGGTAGGAGAAGGAGAGCGAGTCACGGATGACAGCTGCGCTGCTGCTGCGTCCTCGGCAGAGCTGCAGGTGCAGGTGCAAGAGCAGCTCGTCGACTTTAGTACCACCAGCAGCACCAGCACCAGCACCAGCAGCTTTGACTCATTCGAGAACTCTCCAGAGTCCACGCCGCCATAAAAAAGTCCCGATCCCGACGCCGCTCTCTGCTCCCGCCACCATTTCTGCCCCACGAACAGCAAACACCACCGCCACCAGAATACTCAACACCACGGCTTCTGCGAGGCTGTACCGTACCGGCGCGAAGACTCTATTCGGGGCACGGAATCGATTCTATTCATCGTCCTCTGCCCTGCAGCAGCTCGCCAATATGGCTTACACGGGCAAGTGGACTGCCCCCGTGGTCCGCAAGACCTTCCTCGACTACTTCGCAGAGAGGGGCCACACCATCGGTATGTCTCCCAGCCTGACCGCCACCACAACCACAGTCACCTCGCACAGATGGGATTGAATCGTAGGCTTTTGAACATGGAGGCTATTCCGATAGTTCAATCTCATTCCATTGAGCTTCTTCAGCTGACAAGAGCCTCTCCATGCAGTCCCTTCGTCCTCCGTCGTCCCTCACAATGACCCCACCTTGCTCTTCACCAATGCGGGCATGAACCAATTCAAGCCCATCTTCCTCGGAACCGTCAACAAGAGCGATGACATGGCCCATCTGAAGCGTGCGGCGGATACTCAGAAGGTACTTGGAGCTTTCTGCAGCTACGCTTTTGCGAACTTTTGGCTAACACCCTGTTCTAGTGTATCCGTGCGGGCGGCAAACACAACGTAGGCTCTACCAACGACAATCATGCTTAGGACGACAGCTTACAATGTGGTATACAGGATCTCGACGATGTCGGCAAGGACAGTTACCATCACGTAGGTTACACTGGGGAGCTTCATAGTGGAGGCTGGGGCTGACTCATTGGCAGACATTCTTCGAAATGCTGGGCAATTGGTCATTTGGCGATTACTTCAAGAAAGAGGCTGTACAGATGTCGTGGGAGCTTTTGACAAAGGTCTACGGTCTAGATCCCGAGCGACTATACGTCACATACTTTGAGGGCAACCCCGAGATGGGCCTGGAGCCCGATTTGGAGGCAAAAGAGCTGTGGAAATCCGTTGGTGTCTCCGAAGACCATATCCTGCCGGGCAACATGAAGGACAACTTCTGGGAGATGGGCGACCAAGGCCCATGCGGTCCTTGCAGCGAGATTCACTACGACAAAGTGGGCGGCCGCAATGCTGCGCATCTAGTCAACCAGGATGACCCCCTCGTTGTGGAGGTGTGGAATAACGTTTTCATCCAGTTTGATCGGCAAAAGGACCGGTCTCTGAAGTCCCTCCCTGCGAAGCACGTCGATACCGGTATGGGATATGAGCGTCTCGTGTCTGCGCTGCAAGACAAGATCTCAAACTACGCCACCGACGTGTTCTCGCCCCTATTCAAGAAGATCCAGGAAGTGACAGGAGCGAGAGAGTACACCGATAAGTACGGCAAGGATGATGTCGATGGAGTTGACACCGCGTATCGCGTTGTTGCGGACCACATCAGACTGCTCACCTTCTCGATGGCGGATGGTGCCGTCCCGAACAACGACGGCCGTGGTTATGTTGTCCGCCGAGTGCTAAGAAGAGGTTCCCGTTACGCGAGGAAATACTTCAATGCCGAGATCGGAAGCTTCTTTTCGAAAATTCTGCCAGCGCTTGTCGAACAGATGGGAGAGCAGTTCCCCGAGATTGTCAAGAAGCAGCAGGACATCAAGGAGATTCTTGACGAGGAAGAGGAGGCATTCGAGCGCACCCTTGACCGAGGAGAGCGGCAATTCGAGAAGTATGCTCACACTGCCATCAAGAATGGCGAGAAGAAACTAGCTGGATCGGATGTGTGGCGACTGTACGACACATTTGGCTTCCCCGAGGATCTTACTAAGTTGATGGCGGAAGAGCGTGGCCTCGGCTGGGACGAGGAAGAGATTTCCGTCGCCAGGGAAAAGGCCCGCGAGGCGAGCAAATCAGTTAAGGAGGCTGTTCAGACTTTCTCGAAGCTGAACGTCCACCAAATTTCAGAGCTTGAAAACGATCTCAAGATTCCCAGGCCCGACTCAGAAGATAAATACAGCAAGGGCGATTCGACTGGAAAAGTTCAGCTTATCTTTGATGGCAAGCAATTCGTCAAGTCGAGCAAGGATATCCCTCCCAAGACACCTCTTGGACTTCTCCTTGACAAGACCAACTTCTACGCTGAGTCTGGTGGCCAGGTCGCCGATACTGGCAGAATTCTCATCGACGATGTGGCGGAGTTCAAGGTCTTGGATGTCCAAGAATACGGAGGTTATATCGTGCACAACGGATACCTTGAGTATGGAGAGCTCAAGGCCGGAGACGAGGTCATCTGCGAATATGAGGAGCTGCGGAGATCACCTATTCGGAATAACCACACCGGCACCCATATTCTGAACCACTCGCTCCGCGAGGTTCTTGGCGACGATGTTAATCAGAAAGGATCACTTGTCGATCAAGACAAGCTGAGATTCGACTTTTCACACAAGGCTGCTATCGCAATACCAGAGCTGAAGAAGATCGAGGATTTGTCCAACTCATATATCCAACAAAACTGCAAGGTCTACTATAAGGATGTAGATCTGGACCTCGCTCGCCAGATTGAGGGTGTCCGTGCCGTCTTTGGCGAGACCTACCCCAACCCTGTACGAGTCGTTTCTATTGGTATTGAGGTAGATATGCTCCTTGAGAAGCCGAAGAACCCTGAGTGGCGCAAGGTCAGCGTCGAATTCTGCGGTGGTACCCACGTTGACCAGACCGGCTTGATCAAGGACATGGTCATTGTTGAAGAGAGCGGAATTGCCAAGGGTATCAGACGTATTGTCGCCTACACGGGCGATGCTGCGCACCAGGTCCAACGTGACGCAAAGGAATTTGCCAACCGCCTCGATGCGATTGATAAGCTGCCATTCGGGCCGGAGAAGGAGGCCCAGGTCAAGGTCGCCCAGGTGGATCTCAATCAACTAACCGTGTCTGCTCTGACGAAGGAGGAGCTACGGACGCAGTTTGCGAAGATCAGCAAGGCCGTGCTTGAGGAGCAAAAGAAGAGGCAGAAGGCCGAGTCGAAGACTGCGCTGGATGCCGTCCTGAACCACTTCAAGGCGCCCGAGAACAAGGACTCCAAGTGGTTCGTTGGCCACCTCCCTATCTCCGCCAACACCAAGGCTATTTCCGAGGTGATGAACCACTTCCGGTCTAAGGACAAGGAGAAGTCGGTCTATCTCTTTGGTGGAAGCAAGGACGAGGGCGTCGTCCATGGTGTCTACGTTGGCACTGTAAGTTGAATACTACCCATGCTACACCTTTTTCAAATACTAATCCGTCACCGAAGGCCCTCTCTTCCAAGGGTATCACCGCCGAGCAGTGGACCGGCACAGTCTGCGAGATCATCGGTGGCAAGGCCGGTGGAAAGGAGCCCACTCGGCAAGGTTCGGGAACGCAGCCCGAGAAACTTGACGAGGCTGTCTCCAAGGCGGAGAAGTGGCTCCTCGAGAAGATGGAGGAACTCAAGATTTAGACTCGGTTCACGGAGGACCGAAATTGTTTCCGGGATTTACCCAGCTGTTCTACAGTAGCTGTTTGCTTTATGTCAGGGTCCAAATGAGCTAGAACAATCCTTCTGATGTCGTGGGACATTTCACGGTAAATGTGAACGAATCAAGGGGGAAGGAGGGCGCAATGATTACAGAACTCTCTCAAAGATCTCACTTTGCTCGTTGTATGTATGAGTAGTGGTTTCCAGTGCTGAATTTATAGACATCTGGGGTTTGTGCGAGATTCTGTTCAAGGCGAGGCTTTTCCCAATAGAGGCTTGATGGTCCACTGTGACTCTGCTCCCTGGTATGGTTTGTTACACGTACATGGGTTGGTTTTACTTGGGGTTTATACAGTCGTCATGACGCTGGCGTTCTTGTACCAGCTGAGCAGCGGGTTCTCCCCGCTCTTGGTCTCGCATTCCTCTACGTACGCCCACCGCCGCATGAAGTCCTCGTGCGACACCACGCGCGACAGCTTCCCCGTGATGGCCTGGTATACGGCCTCCATCACACCGAAGTCGGTCGGGAACATGATGTCAAAATAGCCCTGGTGTACCTGTGGCTCGTGTTAGCATATATTTCAACCACTCCGTCGTTAAAGGGAGGGATGGCTTCTCACCAAAGGCGTCGACACCGGCACCGGCCGCCGCTGGTACCGCGTCTGCACGATCGGCGCATTCAGCCCCTTGATGGCGTCGGGGAGCGAGTGGAAGTCACTCGTGAGAAGCCGGTGCGCGGGGAAGTACCGCTCCAGCACGTCGAAGAACTGCATCAGCCGCGTCGGCACGTACTCGGGGGTGCTGAGGTTCGGCGCGAACGGCAGGTTGCCCTTGAGCAGGCGCAGCGCGCGGCTGGACGGGTAGGGCGTCGGGTAGGCGCCTCCCGTGGCGGCGTCGCGCACGGCGAAGAAGCGCGCCGCGACCGGGTCCAGCGTCGGCTGGTAGAACTCGTAGAAGTCGCCGCCCTCGTCGATGAGCACGGTGCCCTGCAGGGGCTGGGGCTCGACGGCCGACGAGGGCGCGGTCAGGTCGTAGCGGATGATGTCGTGGGCGAAGTTGTCGAAGACCTCGAAGGCGAGGAAGAAGCACGGCGAGGGGACGGGCTCGGACCAGTCGAAGATGGACTTGTTGATGATCTCCACCTTGCCTGCGTGGCCCCGGCTGGCGGCGTTGGCCAGCAGCTGCCGGTTTTGCAGTGCCGCAAGCGAGCTCGAGATCTCGATGATCTTATATTTTGTGCGGTCGTATACGGCCGGCTCGCACGCCCGGATGTAGTCCAGGATGTTGAGCATCAGCGTGCCGCGCCCGGCACCCATCTCGTACACGATCAGGTCGTGGTAGGGGAACGAGGTCAGGATGTAATTAGCGATCAGGTACCGCGCTACCGCCTCGCCGTAGTAGGGGCGAAATAGTTCCGTCGGCGTGTACCATAGCTGCCTTGTGTCGCTCGGCGCCGTTGCATCCAGACCATCTTCGAACTCGGTGTATCGGGCTGAGAGCAGATTTTGAAATTCGATATCATCACGAACTTTATTAAACTCGAAGGGCTCGCCGGGGCTAAAGATCACTACTTGCTTCGAAAAGTAGCCGTAGTGTGGGTTGTATAAACTGTCTAAGGACAAAACATTGTTAGATTGCTCTGTATAGGACCTGGAATCCTTAAGGAAGCAAACGCACCTTCAATGAAGTCTCGCATGAGCATCTTGACCCGCCGCGGCCGCTCCTTGTAGCTCCTCAGCTCCTTTGCCGTCACCATTGGATATTTCTTGAACTCGTCCGTCATGTCCGCCGGGAATATGTCCGTCCGCTGCTGCCAATGGCTCTCGTTACGCGCGGGCGTCGTGGCTCCTCTGTCCCTCCGGGTCGCCATACCTCGGCGCTGTGTGGACTGGCGGGCATCTTGGATGGTTGTTGCGAGCTTGACGAGGTTCCGCCTCGAGGGGCACGCTCGGTGACGGAACAGCTGCCTGAATAGCTGCGTCACAATGGGAGAGTCCATCGCGCGAGCGGGTGGGCGGGAGAGGTGGCCTGGAGAGAGTCTTTCCTGATCCTGATATGGCGAGCAAGTAGGCAGAAGCTGGGGAAGCTCTTGCTTGCTTGCTGTGGCTTGGCGCAGCATTAGTTGGTGGGTCCAGAACCCTGGCAGAAAAGGTTGCGACTGTGGCGGTGTGGCTGAAGCTCAATGCAACTGGTCGCATGTGAGGCTTCAATGAAGTCTCAGAATTCATAGCTCTTATGACATCAACTTGTACATACTTGTGTATTATTTGAACGACGTCCCATTGCTACTTTTATTGATTTAGTTTATTCAATATAATTGGCGGTGATGGAGTCTGCTCACTGACGACATAATGTCTTTAAGCGATCATCCCAAAGCGTACGGCACCGCTGCCGTCGCGGTAGCCTTTGTTGCCGGGGTTTTAGTGACGTTAGGTTTCAAAGATCTATATCCAGATCTAGAGCGCAGATATGAACAGAGGAAGCGCAGGCCGCGGCGAGGCTCAGGGGCGTCGCGAAGGTCCAGCATGTTCTTCACTCCAGTAAAGTTGGAGGACCATGAGTCCGACATGGGGAACAGCCTGGGCGAGTTCGGTCATGTCGTCGAGGGCATCGAAGGGTGCATTGGCAACACTCCTCTCATTAAAATACACAGCCTCTCTGAGGCCACAGGGCGTACGATCCTGGCCAAAGCAGAGTTTCTCAATGGAGCTGGCAACAGCCCCAAGGACCGCGTGGCCCTGAACATGATCCAAGTGGCCGAGGAGAAGGGTCTCCTGACACCTGATCAGGGCGATACCATTTATGAAGGCACGGTCGGCAGCACGGGGATATCGTTGGCGACTCTGGCGCGCGCAAAGGGCTACAAGGCTTACATTTGTATGCCAAACGACCAGAGCGTTGAAAAATCGAATCTACTGCATCATCTCGGCGCAACGGTGGAGCGCGTACCTGTTGCGCCGATCACATCACCAGACCACTTTGTCAACCTCGCGCGGAGGCGAGCACAGGAACATACTGCTTCGTCTGAGACGAAGAGCAAGGGGTTCTTCGCGGACCAATTCGAATCACATGCGAACTACACGGCGCATATGAAGACGACCGGCCCGGAGATTCTGTACCAGACAGACGGCCACATCGATGCCTTTGTTGCAGGTGCAGGTACTGGCGGCACCATTGCCGGCGTCGCAAAGTATCTGAAGGAAGAGGCGGGCTTGTCGAAGGTGCGGGTTGTGCTGGCGGATCCCCAGGGCAGCGGCTTGTTCAACAAGGTCAAGCACGGCGTCATGTACTCGAATACGGAGAGAGAGGGTACTCGTCGGCGGCAGCAAGTCGACACAATTGTCGAGGGCATCGGCATCAATCGGGTAACCGAGAACTTTGAGGCTGCGAGGGAGCTGATAGATGATGCTGTTAAGGTGACTGATGAGCAGGCTTGTAAGATGGCTCGATGGCTGGTGGAGAACGACGGTATCTTTGCTGGGAGCAGCAGCGCGGTCAACTGCGTCGGAGCGGTTGTCACTGCCATGAGTCTACCAGAGGGGAGCCAAGTCGTGACCATCTTGTGCGACTCTGGGACGAGGCATCTAAGCAAGTTTTATAAACAAATAGGAGAAATGGGGCTAGAGGAGGAGCATAAGTCGTTAGATCTCTTCTCGCTTCTCAAGATCGAGGCATCAGCGAGATGACGGGTCTTGTATGATATTTAGATAAGACCTCGGGAGGCCTTTGAGACGTATCTCTAACGCCACTGTACAAGCGAGCAGCAGTTTTTAGAAAACAAACACGGCAACGGATCTGTCTATGATACACGCGACTCTATTCTCGACCAGTGTCATATTGTGCTTGAACTCAGAGTTAGCTGTCTAAGGCAGCCCACCTGGGACTCTCAACACAATCTACACGGGTCCCTTCCAAAAAAGTAGGCCAGAAACTCCAATGATGGCCAACCTACAACAAATGTGATAATGCTCTGCTGCCTCCCTAGTCCACGAAAACGCCTGAAAAGACAAGGAAAAGCGTCATGATCTCGTCAACGGCCATCCACTGCAAGAGGCAAGATCCATGCGAAATGCGAGCTCGTGAAGAAATGAAAACAACCGTAGGACTGTAGCTCAAGAGAACTGATCATTGTCAGTAATGTGCGCCAGTTGCGCCGTCGGCATGGAACATCACTCACCTTCCAGCGGTTGCCACAAATCAGACACTCGCAGAATGTAGTCATCGGTTCATCAGCACTGCGGGTCTGAGCCTGCGTGTAGCTGACCTTCTTCTGACCGCACTTGCCGCAGGTTAGGGCTGTGCTGATACTCTTCTCGGCCATGGGGACCTGGGCCTTCTTCATGTTCTCGGCCTCTAGCTTCTCCTCCTGCTTCTTCATCTCGGCGGACTTCAGCTCCTCGTGGGTCATCTTGATGAAGCGCACAGCTGTGATATCGTTGGCCATGAGCTTGATGCCCAGCTCGCGGTTGGTCTTGTTCTTGAGGTTCTGGAACAAAGATCTTATCTTCTTCCGGTACGCATCCGTGGGGCCGTTGAAGTGGTCGTAGCCAGCCTTCTCGATCTCGATCGCTTTCATGAGCACGTCCTCGATGGGGTCAGTGGAGCGATAGGCAAGGCCGTTGTACAGAAGCCCAATGCAGCCGTCGCGAACCGCATCGCCGGTGCGCTTGTTGTCGACTCCATCAATGGTAAAGGTGCGCTTCTCGGGATCGCCCTTGTAGACCTGGCTCGTAGCATTCGCAGCAGGGGCGGGTGAGGGCGCAGCAGGGGTGCCAGAGGGAGATGCCATGGGCGCGCGATTTGCCTTCTTGGCAGCATCGACACTCTTCTTCCACTTCATCACAATCTCGGTCGCGGTCTGCTTGATCTCCTTGTCTCCGTGATGGCGCAGCTTCCCTATGACGACACCGATCTTGGTGGTCTATAGACATGGTTATGAGCGATGGATGTCGCACACGCTGAGCTGACTAGGAGGATTGCGCGCGCAAACTTACTCGGAGAGCATCCTCGTTCGGGGGAGGGATCTTCTTGAAGTACTCGAGGATCGGGATGATGTTTGAGGCTGGCTCATTCTTGCGGACGGCCTTGGTCAGGCTGTCTGCCTTCTCGACCAGGATCTTGTCGTCTGAGGCCATCTCGGCGATGATAGAAGAACTGGCGCAAAAGCGATGAGTTTGCCAGAGGGTCGTCAGAGGATGACGTCGGGCTGGGAGAAGCCCTAGTGGGTGGGGGAGGAAGCTGGAGGAGATGTGGTGAACTGCGTCGGAGATCAGAAATCGGAGATCGGAGATCGGATGGCGAAGGTGACGTGGCTTTGTATTGTATCGTGGTTGTCAAGTGAATGACACCGCGACAACTGGACGACAAGGAGTTACAAAGAAAGGTGTCGAAAAGTCCCGCGCGAGAAAAAAGCCGTTGCGGGAAGGTTATTCAGAGGCGAGGCTGAGGCCTAACCTTCACTAGACCGAAGTGGCAGCGACAAGGGTCCGCAGCTCCACCCTCATGACAATGAGCCTCAAGGCTCCTAAGATTACTCCATACTAGGATAATAAACGTTGATTCTTGGAGGATCAAGATACTCAATGCTATAAGTCGTAATACTCATTAAGCGCTCAAATGTTCTGTATATTACTCTAGGTCTACCACCTTCTACAAAGGTAGTTATGTCTTTTTGAGGAGGTAGCGATACCCTTGGTGAACTAACATTTATTACTCTGGCAGAGGAGTAGTCAAGACATGTAGCTTGTATTTGGGCTTCAATTGGAGTTCTTCTTTTCCAAAGCTACCAATGAAACTTGATAAGCCTTACCCAACTAATTCATTCCACGATTCTTCTATTTGGTCTGCTTGATCTTCACAGATCGCCATTCCATGCAGCAACAGGCTACCAAAGCCAGTCCACCCAGCGGTATGGCGACGGTCAGAACGAGCTGGAGGGCCCTGTTATAGACCTCCAGAAGAGCAGGTAATTGGTCCGCGGACACCACGGTACGGAAGGAAGCGGCACCAGCATTAATCACCTCTTGTATATCAACTCCAGGAAGCGCATCAGCATCAGAAGCCTTCTGCAACTGACTCTGGAAGACGCTGTTACCGACGGATAAAAAGACGGCGCCGCCTAATGATTGGGAAGCCACAACAGCTGCCGTGCCCACGGCCATATCATCTGCCCCAAGGGCCGCTTGTACGGCGGTGAAGCCCTGCTGGATTGATAACCCGAAGCCGGCTGAGACCAGTATCTCGTAACCGACCCACTGTACCGTGGAAGTCTCCTGCGACAACAGGGTCAGGACGCCACAGCCAGCTGTGCCAAGAGCGCTCCCAACAATCGCCGGCGGTGTATAGTATCCGATGACAGAGACGAAGACGCCAGCGAGCAGCGAGAAGAAGGCATTGACGACGAAGAATGGGATCATATTGATTCCAGAACGAATCGCTGAGTCGTCTCGAATGGCTTGGAACCAGATTGGCAGGAAGTACGTGATCACAAGCAAGGCTCCATACGTTGTAAAAGCCATCGCGCAGCTGGCAGCTACTGTCCGCTGGGTCGCGATGGAGGGTGGAATGAGTGCACCGTCCTGTTTCCACCACTGCCACGCCACGAACAGGACAGCCGCCACACCAAAACCACACAGGAGACCGATGATCAGGGCGCTGCCCCAGGAGTGGCCTATCGTCGTGTATTCAAGCGCGAGGAACAGCATGACTGACGCTCCCAGAATGATTGCATTGCCAATCATATCCAGGTCAAAGACACGGTCGAGGAAAGTGCGCGATACGTGCGCATGTGCTTTGGGGCGAAAGAATAGGATCATCGCGAGGACGGTTGCACCGCCCACGGGAAGATTCATGTAGAAACACCACCTCCAAGTCTGAAAGTGGTCAACAATTTGGCTCGAAATGATGTGAGGGTGGAACTTACCACAAGATCTGTGAATACGCCTCCGAGCAGTGGTCCTGCTGTTGCGCCAACGCCAAACCTATGTTCTGTCAGCATGACCGAGGGCTGATAAGGAGCAGTAGAACTCACATAAGACCAACAACAGCGGTATAGATAGGTCGTAGTCTCAGAGGAACCGCAGTAGCCACTACCACAAAGCTCCCTGTGAGAATTCCAGCACTGCCGAAGCCTGCTATGGCGCGTCCGATGATGAGAGACATCGAACTTGGTGCAAGTGCGCACAGGAGTGACCCTGCCTCGAACATGAATAAAGCGAAGAGGTAGGACCATTTGATGGAGAAGAGCGTGAATACGCGACCGAACAGCGGCTGAAATGCGCATGCCGTCAGCAGGTACGATGAACCGTACCAGCCTAAGTCTGGCGTTGACTTGAATTCTGCCGTAATGTATGGGATCGCCTTGAGATAAATTAGCTAAAGTCTTGATTGAAAAGCCGGAGGGATCTTACGGTGGTGATGATCGTCCGATCGATTGAAATTAGGAAAACTGCAAGACATAATCCAACAATGAGGACGGACAGCGGCCAGCCGGAGAGGAAGCCTTCATCCGCGCTGCCTTTCTCGGTGCTCATCTGGCTATCTTCCACTGTCGACTCATCTTCCTCACGAAGATCAGGCTCGAAAGTTCTGGTGAACTTGCTAATTTTCAAGCCTTCTTTGCCTGGATGCCGCTGTTCAGCGATGGGAGTCAAGACACGCGACCGTCGATTTCGTTGTGCAGTGAGGGAGGACTGTGATGCAGGACGACCTAGATGTCGCAACGGTCCACCGAGGACATCTTCAATCATACTATTCTTGTCATTGTCCCGGCCAGGAGATGCTGATGATTGAGCTTTATCATCTTCAGAGGCGCCTTCCAATATGGAGGACGTCGCGTCTCGTCTGAGAAGCTCAGTTGCAGAATTGGCTTCGCTCTTCTTCCGTTCATGGCCTAAATGATCGATAGATGATCCATAGTAAGAAGACAGCCATTCTTCTGGCGTGTCTTCTGAGTGTCTCTTCTCATGTTCAGACATGTCGTGTGAAGGATGGCCTCAGCTCAGCTGTGAGGTTCTGTCACATTCATTCGCGTCTCCGCACACAGGAGGATTGACAATCTTGCGGTGTGCTGATAAGAGATCCAGCACTGACTTCTCTTCCTCTGTAAACAATGCTCTTGTCACTGCTCCGGCAACAATAGGAAACTTTGACCAACAATCGCGACGATCACTGTACAGAGCATCGACTACAATACCAGAACTCGCAAAATCCAATTAAGGCATGCTTACACAATATGGCATCGCACATGTACACGTCAACCCTGCGACATCCATGTGTAGATCATCTCACCAAGGAAGGGTGTAGCCAAGGGAGTGGTACAAGATTTCACAAGTGAGACAAGCTGCCCAGAGCTGATGAAGATCATCGGGCTCCACCATTGAGTCCCAGCCAGCAAGGAACATTCATCGTGGTACCAGTGGACCGACGACATTCCCGAACGGCATCCGTCAGTAGTCGCCGGCATCTTCACGGAATGAAGCGTCTCTGATGTCACTAAGATAAAGGGGCGGAGTCGGATGGCTCTCGTTCCGTCTTGGAGCTCTTCCTACTCCATGTGGAGCCGCCGCGCTCAAGACTATCGCGACGCTAATGCAGAGGGACGCTGTACATTCCGCAATGCTGGATTTTCAAGATAAGTACATTGCATATGAAAATAGCCCCGTAGATCACTGGGGTCCTCTAAGACAAAAAACCTGATGCGGCCTCTCTATGGAGAATGTTTCTCTACCTTGCTCGCATCATGGCCAATTGGCGCGTCTGTCTTAGACATAGACGTTGAGAGTTGCATGAAGCTATTGATATTGAAATTGATATTGCAGCTTTGAACTGCCTTGCGTTGCGTTACTGAACGCTTACACGTGGATGGTGATGTATCTAAGATTGGGAAATGAAAGCACAGCAAGTGGCAGCATGGTTTGCTCGGTCTTTGCACTTAGAGGTCAGTCAGACTTGTTCTGAGTATTCATCATGATTATTGTATTCTATAGCAATTGTGACCTCTTCAGTCTGGCTAATTGAAGCAAAGTGCTGATTACACCGCCAATACCGGCACCGTCTGTGTGCCGACCGAGCACCTCACCACTGCCGCCCCTGAACTCTTCCTCGAGAGCCTGCTGGTTCTGTGCCGCAAGTTGAGACGCAATCTTCATGCCTCTCTTTCTCTGGAACTCTATCTCGCGTAGTTCTTGTGCAGTGTCGTCCTCCCCCATGGCCTCGTCTAGACTTCCAGGTAACAAACCTGAGATCCGTAGCATGAACTCTGGGGAGACCGTCTTCCGTCCTGATTTGAAGACACATTTACTTAATGCGGTAGCGTAAATTTGCTTATCAGGCTTGAAGCCCGACTCATCCTCTGTGGACGAGTTGCTGTCGATGCTGACTCTCCGGAGCATGCTTTCGTCCTCCTCCAGGGCGCTCATCTGTCCACCCTGCTCAGGGTACAGGGAGTAGCTCTTTGGCTTAGCAGCGCCTTGCCGCACGAAATGAGTCACGATGTACACCCATTTCTCGTCCCAAGAAAGGATGCGCGACCACATCTCGTAGGACTCATATGGCCGCAGCTCCCGACGGAAGTTGCACGAGACGGCACCGAGCGCAAGGCCAAACACTGGTTGCTTGGATCCCGTGTATGCCTCCGTGCCGCCACGCATCTGCTCAATGCCTTTGGCGAACAGAGTGCATACCAGATGCGTGCGTGCAATGTCGACGTCAGAGAAGTAGGACGAGTTGGACTTGTGGATATTGAAGTCGATCTCTAGCAGTTGCGTCTGGGATGTGGTGATGATGGGCTGGAAGATGTGGCATGGCTTCAGGGGCACCTGTGGCCTCTGTGTTCTTAAAATAAAGCGGAATGCATTGACAATCCTCATCTAGACAGTATAAGCAGTTGTGCGTTGATGTTGTTGTTTGAGTGACTTACATGCCACATAAGTGGCAGATTCTTGAGATTCAGAATCAGAAAAAGGACGAGAAGCCCTAGCCATACTGTCTGGAGACTAAGATATGACTTGAGGGCATCGCCAAGTTGACTGAGAGAGAAGGCCGACGAAGCTGTGACCGGCGGCCCGCCAAACTGTGACGGCCATTGCCGGCTGTCGTTGATGACACCGAGTGTATAGGTCTCAGGCATCTTGCAAGACACTTGGCGATGAGAACAGAGAACAGTTGAGTTGCTCAAGTCAACATGCAGCAGTGCCTCGCTTTTGGAGATTGCCTTCGTCAAGCCTTCACTAGGGTTTAAAATCTCACATATAGGCATTCCGGAGGAAACGACTGAGACAAATTACACTCTACTGGCTGTCCAGGACTGTGTAAGACCTCGTGAACAAAACCAAAACAAACATCTGCCCTTCCAAAGCGAGAACACTTGGAACAAGCAATGGTGGATCGGCCAGATAGTGCTGTATTGACGGAGGCTTGTAGGGGATACGCAGTGATACCGGTGACAAGGACCCGGTTTCTTACTCGGGACCAGCAAGACAGCAACGGGGCCTCCATTATCGTTGCAAGAGAAGAAGCCCAAAGGGAGGGCCACCAATTGTCTGTTCGCAGTGTCGATCAGTCAATTTGGATGTGTTACCGGGCATCTGTTGGCTCGACATGTCGACATCCAGCTGGAATGTCATCATTGAAGAGGGAGGATGGTCCACCAACTTACATCAAGTTGTGGATCTCGAAGAGAGACTTGATACCTATGATGATAGTCTTCAGTATCGCGACAATAGCTTGTGGGTGGAAGCTAAGGCGCCAGCCCCGTGGAGACACGCAAAGAATGGGTCGGTCCTGATAATACTTGGGGCTAGTTGGCTTGCAGCTCTTGACATGCTGAAGTCGCTCGCAAGCGTTCACTCTAGCAGAGATCTTCACTCGGACAGAAGTGATCCGATGTAGAATCTTGCTGCTGGTCAGGCTAAGCAATTTTTGGGATGCATCCCGGAGCGACAAGGTCGAACGGGAACACCTCAACCGGATGCCTAGGAAATCCGGTTAGGTCTTTAGCAGGCCTGGATCCTTGTAGACAATGCCAAATATCCTCAATATCCCACGGAGAGTTAGTCTAACGGCGATCAAAGTTCCCATTATGGCTATTGCGGAGCACGCTGGATTCCAAAACATAATCCCCAATCACCGACTGAAGCGCTCCTTTCATGGGGCCTTGATATTATTGATGTTGAGCTTAAGCCCTTACAGTCTATCTGGGGCGAGCGCGCATATACGAGATATGAAAAGTAGAATATGCAATCTGGCATGGGGTTGTCTTCTAAGACTTCTAAGACATAATTTGGCGTCCTGCCGTTGGGCCAACTTGCAGCGGTCAGTGCTCAGAAAGGGGCGGGCGATGTGCTTGACCACTAACAAGACTGAGCAATCCCTTAAATTTTTTTATTTTTTTTTGAGCATGCCGTGCATTCTCCTTCGTGACTGGAAACCTTCGTGCACCGGTTCCGGCTAAGCTTGGGTCACTGCTGACTGGTCAACACCATCTCTACAGGATGGTATTTCTTCCCTGACCAACCGGGCCGGGGCCAGAGCCAGACCCAGAGTAGCGGCGAGAAGAATGGGACGGAGATCTCGGCGGATCTACTGCAATCGAGATCCCCCTGATCGCCTTTAGGATACGCTCTTCTGGGAGACTTCCCAAGACAGGGGTGATGGCCAATGGATAGGGCTAGACATGATTATATTGCATGGATGATGCAGTGCGATAAGAACCATGAGACACTGAAAACGACGACAAAGCTGAAGTGCAACGGCCCCTGATAAGCGGCCCAAGCGGCTCCCGCGCTACTGCATGGTAGGGCTGCTCTAGGCCCAAACAGGCTTAAGTCTGGTGAGATGCTAGGTACATACGGGCGATGCGGAATTGCGACTTTCCAACGACAAGTCTTCGTGTCTTGCTTGTTCTCTACCTGCTCTCTTCAAAACTCCACTCCACCAACTCCAGTCGTGATGCAAGGCAGATGCAATAATTATTTGCTAAGAGCGCCTTCCCGCGGCCCCTGCCAGTCTTCTTCTACTACATTACATTACATTACATTACACGCTAATTGGCGATATCTGGGCTCTCTCGCCTTAGCAACTCGCTAATCTTATCCACAGGGATGCAGATCTGACAAGACACTGCACCAATCCGCACACGGCGGCATTACTGTCCGGGCCACGGCTGCTCTCGCGCCCGTAGCGCTAGGCCTCAACCGGAGGCTCACTGTTCCGCTAACGAGCGGCTCTATTTCTCGGCCATGGGGGTGACGGAATGCGCAAGCGTCCCGCTGGCGACCTTGGTCGCACTTTGCTTGACCGCTGACACTCCGTCCTTCTTGTCGACCGACTGGCCTTTCTTTGCCTTGCGGGCGCTAGCCTTCTTGTAGGTCGCGATGTAGAACATGATGAAGAGTACCAGGTACGAGCTCAAGATCAGGCATCCACAGACTGCCGCGTAAGGCTCGCCGGCACAGCGACCAACATGAGGCAACCAGGGAGCGTGGGCGCTGGCGAAATAATCCCAAGAAGCGAAATAGACAAAGCCTGAGTTTCAAACGTTAGGACTGACATCTACGCCTTGTTATTCGTGCTGGGGCCAATGACTTACCGAGATCGATGATGAACTGAGCAATTTGCATCCTGGTGATCCACTCCTTCCACCATACCTTGACACCACGCGCGCTCTGGAAGTAGTACCAATACATGACCACGTGAACTGTCAGGTTCAGCGTGATTGGTACCCATGAGACTGAAGTGCTTCCAATGAGCTGCGTGTAGCACAAAAGCGCGGTCGCAGGGTGGTGATAGCAATGGAGGAAGGTCAAAGGCTTCTTCTTCACCATCAAGAAGACGGTATCAATCAGCTCAATGTACTTGGTGATGTAGTTGAGCTGGGTTATCATGTTAGCGGAAACGTCGACTATGGCTCATGATCCTCTCAACTTACATAGTACAAAGTCACGAGAGGCTTCGTCCAGCCGTCGGCACCACATATGTTCTCATAGAGACCATCGCGCCACAGCGATGGGAGGAGCTGCTCGAGGAATAGTACAAGCAGACCGCCGCTCAGCGCAGTGAGCATGAAGTTGTGGACCTTGAACAAGAAGTTCAGCTTGAGCGGCTCCCGATTTTTCATGAACTCGCGGCCGCCAAAGATCACCAGCAGGTACAAAACTACCATGCCCACCGTCTCTTCAAGTGTTGAGAACGGAGTCTTGCCTGGCACGAACTTGAACTGGTCTGCGTGGTAGCCCTTGACAGCCATCCAGGCCTTGTCAAAAGCATCCCATGCTTTGAACGATGGGACTGCAGAGGGCTGCTGCTGCATCAGCAGCGGAGGCGAGGAGTTGAAGGACATGATGGCGCAAGAAAAGACTAGCAAAAGGTGTGAGAGAAGCTTTCGATCCCAGAGACCAGCACACCGCAATGGATGAAGTGAGCGCCAATTACAGTAGTGGAAGACTCGCTGATTATATTCTTGGAAGTTGAGCGAGGTACGCAAGTGATAAGCCTCGATAACAATCAAGCACCGGAGATGGGAGGCGCTTGAGCTTGTACCGGCATTAGCTTCGTTGCTCTGCAGGGCGTCGATATCAATCACATGCTGAATCCTTTTTAGCACTACACGTCATAAATTTCCTGATTTGTCAACTGCATTTGCGAGATTGCGGTTTCTCGAGCATGGACGGACATCAAATTCTGGTGGAGACACTTGCAATGGTCGAATTCCTGGGGTGCCATTGTACGGTTTGTCGGATTGTCGCAAACAACCAGCTGAAATGGAGACACTGGGGACCTACTATCGAACCCACTCCGACCAAAGCGTTGGAATATTGCTCCACAATACAGGGCTCTGGCAAATACAAAGTCCCATACAGTAAGGCAATGTACTTTCAGTCATGACGTTTCTTTCCATCAAAAAACCAGCATCGAGATCGAATTGTGAGGTCTCTTACTGCTCGGTGGGATTACCTGGATTGGCTAACTTGCCACCGAAGAACTGTCGACTTGGGCAAGCCTGTGGAGGCTCCAGGTATTCATGGAAGAGGCCATAGTTCGCTGTGGATCCCATAGACTTCACACTTGGTTCATGAGACATGTGAAATCGGAAATATTGGCATTCCTAGTCGTTCGAGGGATGCCACACAGACCACACTGCCAACATAAGGCTTTGAGCGGGACTGTTCTTTTGTTAACGGCTGTCAACGAAGTAATGATGGGATCAATCCATAGGCGAGCGGAAAGGCGTGCAAGTCTCACATACGCAGGAGGTATGCAAGGTTTCAGTCAAGGTCGATGGGTCTGCCGCTGGCACCCACACAAGTGGAACTCTGAGTTCAGGTCATCAACCCACTCACTTCAGCCTCCCGGCCATTTCAACTTCCGCCTTCACCCTTGCAATCCAAGCCAGACTAAGGCCCCAGCCTAGGCTAGTCGGGTATTTCACAAGCTGCTCTGAGAGTTTCCGGATGATCGACATCATCACAGGTATCCAATGAGACTTCGCAAAAGGGCTCGGCCTTGCGGCATGCAATTTCAAGTTCCACTGCAGGGCTAAGTCTTGAATTGTAACCATCTGGCGATATGTCGGGCCAGTGGATAAGTCTGTTTTACGACTTGCCCATACACCGCATGCTGACTGTACCTTGATACGAGATGTACACTGTACGCACACACTCACTATGTAAGTGACGTCTCCCTTAGTGTCTGATATATATCGCTGGTGCCCTCCATTCTAGTATACTGTCAAGTGTGTACTGCTGGTCAACCCATATTCTTTGATCTTCGTCTTTGTCAATTCTTTCTCAATGGACAAGATTTCCTTCACCCCCGTCATCACGGCAACGGCGGCTGCCGCTTTCGTCGCAGCCAAAAAGTATGACTATCCTGTCGTGTCTGCTGTTGGCTGGACATGGGCGGTGGTCGTACCACTGTATCTTGTCGTCTGGATGAGCTGGATCTACCCATTCTACGTGTCCGAGTTGAGGCACGTACCGACGGTACCAGGTTTCCCACTCTGGGGCCAGTTCTTCGATATCGTTCTCGAAGAATGTGGTATCCCGCAGCGGCGATGGCATCAACAGTATGGCCCTATCATCCGCTACTTCTTTCCCTTTGGTGCTGAGCGCCTATCGGTTGCCGACGATGAGGCTCTCAAGCAGATGACTGTCAAGAACCCTTACAACTACCCAAAACCCGTCCGTGCCAAGCTCTGGATGGTGCGCATCTTGGGAGAGGGAGTTCTGCTCGCCGAGGGTTCTGAGCATGTCCATCAACGAAAGGCGCTTGCTCCTGGCTTCTCCATCCAATCGATCCGCGCACTTACGCCAGTCTTCTGGGAGAAGTCGCTCCTCCTAGCCAAGTGCTGGAGAGAAGAGATGCTGCAGTCCAATGTCTCAACCAAGTCTTTTGAGGCGTTGGAGTGGCTGAACCGTACCACGCTCGACATCATTGGCAAGGCTGGTTTTGGCTATGACATCAACTCTCTTGAGCACCCAGAAACTCCTATCCGTGAGGCCTACCGTCTGGTCTTTGCCTTTGATATCTGGTCTCGCATGCTACACGGTATCCAGGCGTTCATCCCGGCATCAAAGTACATTCCCGCCAAGATGAACCGCGATATGGAGACTTCCCGTGGCATCATCGTCGATAAGGCGACGGAGATCATCACAGAAAAGGTCGAGCAGGCCGAACACAATACTGGTGGCAAGGACATCCTTGCCCTGATTGCCCGCGACAACAAGAAGATGAAGGCTGCCGGCGAAAAGGGCCTGTCGTTTGAGACAATGCGCGATCAAGTCATGACTTTCCTCGGTGCTGGGCATGATACCACTGCCACTGGTGTTGCCTGGACGCTACATCTGCTTTCTACTCACCCCGAGATCCAGTCGCGCTTGCGCGAGGAGATCAAGGATTACATGCCCTTCCTCTTCAACAAAGAGTCTCGTTTCGACCCTGCGCAAGTCAACGCTGCAGACGCAGACCAGCTGCCCTACCTCGACAATGTGTGCCGCGAGTCGCTGCGCTACATCCCACCTATTCCCATGACCGTGCGCCAAAGCATAGCCGACGACACGCTCGGCGGTTACAAGGTGCCTGGTGGTACAGTCGTCTATGTGCTCGCCAACGCAATCAACCGTCTGCCTATGTACTGGGGCGAGACAGCAGACAGGTTTGATCCGGACAGGTGGGATGACCTGCCCGAATCGTTCACGACTAATGCCTTCATGACATTCCTGCAGGGCCCGCGCGGCTGCGTTGGCAAGAAGTTCGCCGAGACAGAGATGAAGATTCTGCTCTGCTGCTTGCTGAGCATGTACGAGTTTAAGCGGGACGAGAGCACACCCAACCCAGAGGACTGGAAGATGTGGCGCCTGGTGCTGCGTCCTAAGGAGGGCGTCACGCTCAAGGTTACGGCTATCTAGAACCTAGAAGCTTGGTAGTCCTTTCCCTGTAGATTCATGTATCAATCATTCGACGGGCGTTCGCGTACTACTGCGAGACGGCGTAGAGTTCATTGCAAGCACGCACAAGAGTATTAACCGCAGCTATCACGAATTAATCAGTAATTACGATGTACTGTGCTCCATTGACTGTGATGTTGTCTTGCATGTGACAAACTCCATGACACGGGTGAAAGCCCTGGATATTCTTTGTGTTTTTACCACAACATTCCCCACGCGGTGGAGATCATGTTCTCTCTGACTGCTCCTTTCGATGCTAGGTGAGATCATACTGAGCCATAATCAAGGTTTCCAGGAAGGTAATACAAGCATTGTACCACTCTCAGATGTGGGTGGGCCTTTCTTACCGGTCTTAGTATCCGGAATCAATAGACGGTGCGTTCGCGTCGTCGATCTCAGACGCAGTACAAAGATACAGGTTTTATTTGCGAGTATCAACTTCCTGGATGGGATTCTTGGGATTCTTATCGCTCGGACCCATATATCTGTCTTTATGGTTCAACGATTGAGATATGTGCGCTGAGATTTCAAATATGAATCTCCACAATTGATCGGCGCTCAACAGCAAGGCACGCGCATCACTTTGAGTCAGGCTCGGCGATTTACTCAAGCTTTGATTATTCAGATCAGGTATGGTTACGCTACAGCCGGGACCCTACACGGGTGCCTGAAATACAGTACAGTAGAATAGGTAGTTTTCCGCTCAACGCCATGCCTCAAACATTATCTTCCAAGCCAACGAGGAGCTCAATCGTCCCCACATACAAAAAATGCGCCAAACTGAGGAGGTCCCTTAAGTCGTGTTCTGGTTACCGTTCACATTGATAGGGTCACAAGCCGAGATGCCGATGCCAAAGCACTCGTTGTTCCCAGAGTCGTCAATGTCAATGTCCAGATCAGGGCTGATGTTGATCAAGGCATCTCCACCACTGCTCGTGCTGCTAGACGACTCATCGTCTGAGGACGAGGTGTTTGATGAGTCGTCAGAGGTATCCGCTGCATTTTGAGTGCCATTGACGTTGATGGGGTCGCAGACGGAGATGCCAATGCCAATGCACTCATTGTTGTCTTTGTGCGTAATGGATATGTCCAGGTCCGGGCTGATGTTGATGAGGGCCCGGTCCTCGATAGTGTGCGGCATCAACGGCGCGCTGAGGACCAGGCCAAGAAGGGCCACGAGGAAGAGAGACGACTGCATCGCAATAGAAGCTGAAAACGAGAGACGAGGGATGGTATTGTGGAGAGCCGAATGGCAGTCGGAACGTAAGTAGGACAACTGAATTGCTGCGAGAAACAGGGAGGCTGGAAACACTGAAACACTGAAACAGAACGTGAGTGCAACGGGGCAACGAGAGTCAAGACAGGGAAGCCCTTCCGTATATATGTCAGAATTCCACAGATCCCCCCGACTATTGTTTTGCGTCCGGAGAAAAAATTCCCATGGGGGAATGAGTCCACTTTCAGGGGTAAAAGGCTCGGCGACCAAAGCACAAGCCGTGGTACATAGCTTCCCTCGCATATGCCTAATGACTACACTCACCGTTTGGGCACGAGTTTGACTAGCTGCTTGCTTTGTCTTATTGTCTTCCCAATCCGGCCTGCTGGGTCGGGATTTGTTGGCTGGGACAAGGATATTGATCCAGGAATGGCCCCTGTTCGCTAACCCGCTGTTGGGCAATCCTGACGTCGATCGTCCTGCGGCTCTTACTAGCGGCCCCGTCGGACCTGGAGGGATCTGCCGTTCAGTGGAGAGCCGCATCCCGGCGTTGGTGGAGTTCCCTGTCTAGCGTGCCCTCCCGAGCTTTGGTATGGTTTGGTAGCGTCCCGCCATCACAGCAATCCGCCCCCCTTGTTTCCAAGACATGCATCTTAGGCACGTCTCAGCGCTTGGACGTAGCAGCTCAATCATCTCTCTCTTATCAAGATTTTGCTGGTAAGCTAATGCTCCCCTTGCGGATCTCAGTCTCCACGCTGACCATTACAACTGTTCAATCTCGTTATTGGCGGGATGACGATCTTCGCAGCAGCCCCAGTCACCAAACATGCCGCCGGAGCGGATTCTGCCCATTATCAGTGCGAGGGAATAGCGTCCAGTGTTAGCCCGTATCCAGAGATGGCAGAGAGGACCTTACGTATGTGATCAGTGCCTCCTTGCAAGAAAAAGAATGACGTGCAGATGGTCAATGCACCCGAGCCACAAAGGCACATTGCACGGTACCCGCGGGGTTGTAGCGTGCCTGGATGCTGTCGTGTAAGCTGACATAATGATGCTCTACAACTACATTCCGCGTTATTGATCTTCATCGCGCCGTCGTTTTGGAAATCGCCAAGTCAGGTTTTGATGAATTATACTTTGGAGTAGTAGTAGAGCAAGCAATATGATTTCTCTTATGAGATCGTTCTTCGTTCTGCTCTGCGCAGCCATTACGTACAGGATCATACTTTCGCTGAATCGGAGGCGTCGCCAACATGCAAAGGCAGCGTCGTTGGGATGTCTTCCACCGCCGACTCTGCGCAGCAAGAACTGGCTGGGCAACTCCATCCTTAGAGAGTCCATGAGGGCGACCAAGGAAGATAGAGGACCGCAGTTCATCGTGTCTACCATGGACAGCGTGTCTCCTACTTGCCATACCCTTCGAGTACCCATCCTTGACTACGAGATCTTTGTCACGCGCGACCCGGAGAACGTGAGAGTCTTGTTCTCAAGCCCCGACTTTGACATCAGCAACACAAGACAAGCATCGTGGATGCCCCTCCTCGGCAAGGGCATCTTTACTAGCCGCGGCGAGACTTGGAAGCACAGTCGCGCGCTATTGCGCCCACAGTTTGCCAGAGAGATGATTAGTGATTTAGAGCTGGAGGAGAAGCATCTCCAAGTCTTGATGGGCCAACTACCAACGGATGATTCTAATGGCTGGACATCAAAGATTGATCTACAGCCACTGCTATTCCGATACACACTAGACACTGTAACCGAGTTTCTGTATGGAAAGTCTGTCAACTCGTTGATCACGGCGCAGAACGGCGGAGCAGGCGCAAACAGTGACATCGCCAAACACTTTGACCAAGCCAAAGTCTGGATTGACAAGCGCGGTGCACTGGCTAAATTTTACTGGCTGCTGACAAGCAAGGAGTTTGATGAGAACTGCAAGACCATCCATAGTTATGCCGATGCAATTGTCGCTGACCGCCTGGCTCATCCGCCTCCGGAAAAAGTGTCGTCTGACCCTGAAAAAGGCAAGGCATTCAACCTCTTGGACGAGCTTGCCAAAGTCACGCAAGACCCGAAGCAACTCCGAAATGAGACACTTCACGTGCTCATTGCTGGAAGAGACACAATGGGGTCTCTCCTCGGCTGGGTCTTTTACTTCCTCGCCCGTCACCCGGACGTCTTTGAGAGGCTACGGCAGACACTGCTGAACAGCTTCGGTGACACGCCGCCAGACTTTAGAGCCGTGCGAGACTGCAAGTATCTGCAATGGGTCATCAATGAGACTCTACGAGTCGCGACTGTCATTCCAATGAATGAGCGCAGAGCCTTGAGGGACACCGTCTTGCCAACAGGTGGAGGGCCAGACGGCACCAGTAGGGTATTCATTCCCGAAGGCACACAGGTTCTCATCCCGTTCTACGCGCTGCAACACCGCGCAGACCTGTGGGGTGCGGATGTGGAAGAGTTCAAGCCCGAACGATGGGAGGTTAAGAGACCTGGTTGGGAGTTCATCCCCTTTGGAGGTGGTGCGCGCAAGTGCCTTGGTCGTAAGTCTACTCCTCAATCACTCCCCTTAACAAGACACTAATTCGAAATAAAGAACAATTCGCCCTCACACAAGTTGGATACGTTGTAGCCCGCTTCTGCCAGCAGTATGACAGAATTGAGAACATGGAGCAAGGTGATGGCAAAATCAGACTGCACCACGCAATCGAAAACCGAAGTGGGACTGGCGTCCAGGTACGACTTCGAAAGGCTCATCGTGGTCGGTAGACTTTTTCCATGAATGAAGACTCGATATTAGGGACACCATGTCTTGATACGTCTCAAAGCTCATAATAACATATTGTAATGAACCCATTCATAGTATAGACTAAGTTCAGAGTTTACGACAATGCTGCAAACCTCGGAAAAGTTAAGTTAGATAATGGCCGTGACTCTATGCAATCGACCATGTAAAGGCCATGTGATTCAGCCCATGCTTTTCATGCTGAGTCCTCCAGAATACAGACAAATGCACGCTTTTTTCTTCTTCAACGCCAAATCCTTATTCTCCATGCCGTCAATGCCAACCCTCATTTGTGAATTTCAATGGTGATTGATTCTGTGCTAGACCTTATCCATCTGAACTGAGCTGAGGCTGTTAATAGTGCAATTGGTGAGCCCCTCATACTGATATATGGCGGAGTGAACTCTCACTTCCCATTATGGAAAGATATAACAAGCGCATCATTTAGTTGTCGGGCGCGGCTAATCTTATATGACTATTGAATTGTGCTGTAGGACGTGATTCGGGCGCCTGTAGCAAGTCCACAGGCACAACTTACAACAGGCTAAACAGCCGCGACTTGATTTTGTTGACTGCCGTTGAACATATTAAAAGGACCGACTATAGATCTTCGTTCCGAATCCGGGCCGGCGCGACTTGTGATCTTCTTGGCGATATGGTAAGTGTCATTTGTAGGTGATCCCGGAACGGTATGTTCCGCAAAGGTATATATCAATTGCAGTGCTTCGCCTACGTGAAGCTTGCCTCAAACTCCTTTGACTTCAAGACTATGTGTGCTAGTATATAGGTCATAAAGATGGCGTTTCTTTTGCGAATGCAGAGTAGTTATCGAGCAATTCTGTTTTTGGGCCTTTTGTTGTTCACTAATACTTCACTCGCTGAAACCTTGACGCTGAAGCCTCGTGCAACTGGGGCTCCAGGTCGTGAGCGGCTCAGTATCAATACTGCCTGGAAGTTCTCACGTTTCACGTCGAATCCTGACTCACTGTCATACAGCACGCTGAAACAATGGGTTCTCCCCTCAGCCAACGACTTCGTCAAAGGCGCGAAGATCCAATCACCCTCTGGAACTCCTCCCGGCAGCAGCATTCAGTATACACAGTCATCATTTGACGATAGGCAATGGGAGACTGTTAATCTACCCCATGACTGGGCCATCAAGGGGCCCTTCAATGCTCCTGGCGTATCGGGTGGCATGGGTCGCCTACCTTCAAATGGAGTCGGCTGGTACCGCCGTAATATTACAGTGACATCAGATGATGTGGGCAAGACTATATTCTTGGACGTGGACGGTGCTATGTCTTATGCGACTGTCTGGCTGAACGGAAACTTAGTTGGTGGATGGCCGTATGGCTATGCCTCGTTCCGACTGGATCTTACTCCATACCTGAAAGTTGGCGACGACAACATTTTGGCTATTCGAGTGGACAATGCGCTAAATAACTCACGGTGGTACCCCGGTGCTGGCATATATAGAAATGTCTGGCTAGTAAAAGTTAATTCGGTGCATGTTGGACAGTACGGGACATATATCACAACGCCAACTGTCTCTAAAGACTCTGCCACAGTCAACCTAGTGGTCGATGTTGAGAACAAAGGAAACACTAGCCAGCAGGTTGATGTATCAACAGAAGTCCACTTACTCGACCCGTCAACTGGCCGAGCGGGCGGCGATGTAATGGCTAGCTTCAAACCAGTAACAGCAACGGTGGCAATGGGAAAGAAGCAGTCTGTCAACGGGTCGGTGTCAATAGCAAAGCCATTGCTATGGGGTCCGAAGCCAATACAATCGCCAAATCTATATGTTGCCATAACGACTCTATCAATCGGTGGAAGTGTGGTTGACACATATGAGACGCAATTCGGCATTCGCGCGATTAAATATGACGCGGACAAAGGCATTTTAATCAATGACCAGGCGGTGCCCATACAGGGCACTTGCAACCATCACGATCTCGGCTCCCTTGGATCCGCGTTCAACATCCGAGCGGCAGAGAGGCAGCTGCAGATGTTGCAAGAAATGGGTAGTAATGCGTTGAGGACATCACACAACCCACCTGCTCCTGAGATTCTGGATCTTGCAGATCGAATGGGTATCTTGGTCCTGGATGAGATTTTCGATTGTTGGAATAACCAAAAGACGACGAATGATTTCCATTTGATCTTCGCGGATTGGCATGAGCCTGATCTCCGCTCTTTCATTCGGCGGGATCGTAACCACCCTTCGATTATGGCATGGAGTGTCGGCAACGAGGTCGGAGAACAGTCGAGCGCAGCTGGTGGCACGACTGCTCAGGGCCTACGCGATATAGCCCGCGATGAGGATCCGACGCGCCCGGTCACCGTGGCGATGAATGCGGCTTCGGCTGGTAGCTCCTTAGCCAATGTCCTGGATATTGAAGGCTTGAATTATCAGGGTGAAGGTCTTGGCACATCGACATCCGGATCCTTCTCGAGCTTCCATCAGAAGTACCCGGGCAAAGTCATATGGGCCAGCGAGAGCTCCTCCGCTGTCAGTACCCGTGGCACGTACTTCTTCCCAGTGACCAGTGGCAAGAGCGCAACGGTTGGTAACGGGTCGGGTGGAAACTCCTCGGCCTTGCAAGTCAGCGCTTATGAGCTGTACGCAACTTCATGGGGATCATCGCCTGATAAGGTCTTTGAGGCGCATGAGAGAAACCCCTATGTGGCTGGTGAATTTGTGTGGACGGGCTGGGACTACCTCGGTGAGCCCACGCCGTACGATTCAGCCCGCAGCTCCTACTTTGGGATCATTGATATGGCCGGTTTCGAGAAGGACCGTTTCTACTTGTATCAATCTCATTGGCGTCCTGACTTCCCCATGGCTCATATTCTACCCCACTGGACCTGGCCGGAGAGAGCTGGACAGGTCACTCCGGTTCACGTGTTCTCATCGGGGGACGAGGCGGAACTTTTTGTGAATGGAAAGTCTGCAGGGCGAGTGAAGAAGGCACAGAACACATACCGCTTCCGGTGGGATAACGTGGTCTACCAGCCAGGCAACATCAGTGTGGTTGCTTACAAGAACGGAACACAATGGGCCACGGACTCTAAAAGAACCGTTGATATCGCTGCTAAGCTGAACATCACGGCTGACCGAACTGCCATCAAGGGAGATGGGGATGATTTGTCCTTCATCAGGGTTGCGGTTGTGGATAGCAACGGCGATGTAGTCCCGCGCGCGAACCATGCAGTCACATTCTCGATCTCTGGGCCCGGTCAGATTGTGTCTACAGACAATGGCGACCCGGCGGACATGACTGCTTTCCCATCATTGACACGAAAGGCTTATAGTGGGATGGTATTAGCAATTGTCCGGGCTGATGCCGGCGCCGCAGGAAAGATCACTGTGTCGGCTTCAGCAACCGGTCTTACTACAGCTACCTTAGGCCTTCAAGTTCAATGACATAAAACATTGTGGCAAGAAATCTGGTAGTTAAATAATAAGAAACACTGGTAAGAAACGGGGAAAATTCGTGACTGTCGATGTGCTTTAGCTAGTAGGCGCTCTGTTACTTCACCCTCCGCTTGCCCAGAAAACATCTGAACAAGATTATCTGGATCAAATTATTGTCATTGTGGGTAGCGGTGGATACTATTCGTCACCATCCGGACCCGTGCCGGCAACACTGCCGGGTCTAAGCATGCAGATCATGGGTCCGAGGACGATCTGCAGGCACAAGCACCCAGAAGTGATAATGGATCAGCTTTGATGTCTATGGGCCGTCAAAGAGCTCCCTTGAGATCTGTAGCATATCCTGTTCTTTGAGCCTTTGCTGGCTCTTGACATAGTTCACCGTCAAGATATATATACAACTGAACATAGAAACTATAAGCAATCGCGTTTGCAAGTCTGTAAATGCCAAATCTTGTAGTTAATCAAAATAGCCAAGTCACAAGAACATTGACTATCTTCAAGTATGCATTATTTCAAGGCAGCTCTCCTCATTGCCAGCGCCGGCCTCGTGGCATCTGATGCCATCGCTGAAGATATGAATGTGTAAGCCATCACAACTTTTCCTAAGTCTAATCACGGGAGTCTAACGCACCGGTCGAGCAGTAAGCGTCAAAGCTGGCAGGATGCTGAGTCTGCAGCCCTCTCATCTGCGAGCGTCGCAGCGGCCGAAGCCAGCTGTCTCGCCGACTTAAACGCCACACGAGCTCCGGCACCAGTGATCACACCAAGCCCCATGCTCAACCGGTTCCATGGCAAACGGCAAGACTGGAAGTCGATCGTGTCGAACGCAGAGAGCATTGCGGCGAGCTACGAGTCGTTTGCCAAGACGGTCGCGGACGACTACACAAGCGATGCCGCCGCTATTGCATCCAGTGCCCAGGCGTATGCGAGCTCGGTTGTCTCGAATGCGGAGAGCGTGGCTGCTACGGCTGGGGCGTCGGGACAGGCGGCGGCGTCGTCTGCGGTCGCCAGCGCAGAAAGCGTTGCGGCTACGGCTGGACAAGCTGCTTCTTCGGCAGCAGCCAGTGCTGGTGCGAGTGCGAGCTCGAGTTCAACGCAGGATAGTCTGGCTGCCCGAGGACTCGGTAGCTTCAATCTCTTTCCAACGGCAATCATTGCGCTGGCAGTTGGTTGTCTGACATCTCTGCTCTAACAAAGCAGCTGGGGAATGCCATGAAAAAGACGGGAGTATGAGACTTTTAAGGCTGTGTAATTGTACAATGGTCGCTGAGCAGATCTATATATGATACAAACAGTGATGGTACATGGTATCTTGAGATGTACAGTCCTGGTCTAGGTGGACATAGAGAGATCTCAGGGGAGATGTACACAGGCAACTACGTGAGGTATTATTTAGCCTTAAGAGCAAGATGATAAGTGCTCAATTGCCCGGGTGTGACCTTGAGCGGGCTTTTCGCCATCATGTCTTCTCCCTTCATGTTCTTGGGAAAGGCGATGACATCCCTGACGGACTTGGTGTAGCTGAGTGTCGCCACTAGACGATCCCAGCCAAAGGCGAACCCGGCGTGTGGAGGACAGCCTGCTCGCAAGGCTTCAATCAGATGTGAAAAATGTGAGATGCCCTCATCACTCATCTTGAGGATATCCCGGAGGACATATTCTTGGACTTCGGCAACATGGATACGACGACTACCGCCGCCAAGCTCAACGCCGTTTAGCACGAGGTCGTAATGATCCGCCTTTACTCGAAGAGGGTCGGTCGCTAGAAGCTCAAAATCTTTGGATGTCAATGGCGCAGTAAAGGGGTGATGGGTGGACGAGAAACCTGAAGCACCCCCCTGGCCCGGATCGACATCGTTGTTGGGTGTGAAGAGCGGGAAACCAACCACCCACAGGAATTTGAAGCTGTCGTCGCGCTCCAAAAGACCTTTATCGACCGCAGCTTGGTAGAACGCAAGCCTGACATTTCCCAGTGCTGTTGATCCACCCTCGAACGGCCTGTCCTCGCGAGCCTGAGTGATGAGGATGTCACCATCTTCAAAATCGCCAAGGGCTTCCGCAATCTGGCCGTCGCCAGTGATCTCCTGGAAGGCCTCGTGGCCTAAAGCTGACAGACCACACATGGGCTTGCTGGAATCAAAAACCATCACGGCTGGAGCACCATCGGGGTTTTTAGCCAGGGACGTCGGTAGGGAGTCCCAAAGTTCACGAACAAATGCCCAATTCTCTTTGATGGATCCGTTAAGGCGGAATTTGCAAGCGTCGATGGCGGGGTTCTCAACATCAGATATCATTGACACGAAGTTCTTCGGAAGGACGGAGTCAACTCGGCAAATCTGTGAGGGTTAGCCAAACTAAACTTTCAACTCACAAGCCCAATTGATGATGTACCTTGTTCGGTATCCTCAGGTCTGGCTTATCGGACCCATATAGGGCCATGGCATCGTCATATTGCAATCGCGGGAATGCCTCATCTGACAACGAAGGATAATCAATCACAGTTTCACGCCCCGTCACATCCTTCGGAATATTAGCACCTGCATAGCTAGCGAAAATATTGTACTTACGTAGACCTCCTTGCGCACGGGCACCAACTCTCCTTCTGTAGATAGTATCTGGAACTTGGCCGTGATCTCTTTGAATAAATCCCTCACTACTGTTTCGATGAGGTGCATCACGTCTTTGCCTGTGGCAAACGCCATCTCCAGATCGAGCTGGGTGAACTCAGGCTGTCGATCGGCACGCAAATCCTCATCACGAAAGCACCGAGCAAATTGATAGTATCCATTGAAGCCAGAGGCCATCAATATCTGCTTATACTGCTGGGGGCTTTGAGGCAACGCATATGCATAGCCACGACGTCTAGTCGGCACGAGAAACTCCCGGGCGCCTTCAGGGGTTGATTTGAACAGCACTGGTGTCTCAACTCGTCTGAAGAAGAGGTCGTCAAGCGTCCTCTCGGCAACGCGCTGGAGCGAGTGACGGAAGTCAAGTCTGCTACGGAGTGTCTGCGAGAATCTCATCTGGAGATGACGCATGGTCGGCGGGAATTGGACATTGTCGGAGATGATGATGCTTCGGGGGAAAACATTCAGGGCCTGAATAGATTGCAGCTCGACGCGAATGTGGTCTGTTCCGCTGGGGAACTTCAATGGAGAGCTATGGCGAGACTCCTTGAGGGATACCTTGCTTACAACGCCAGTGACAGAAACGGGACTGAAGGGTGGGATTGATTTGAAGGCCTGGTGGAGCTGATGTGCCTCGGAGCCGGACTCCTGCCATGCTGATGCGAGCTCTATCTTTGGAGCATAGTCCTGCAGAAGGCTTGCAAAAGCAATTTTTGAAGAAACTTCTTTCCTCTTACTTAGAAAGCCATGGACTGTGACGGTGTTGCCGACTTTGAAGTCCTGAGCAGTGGAGTGATCTGGGAAATGGACTGTGCGAGTTTGTCAGAATAAAAAGTCTCCCGTGACGACAATGAACAAGCAGACAGTATTTCTTATAGTCTTCCCAGCTTTGTGTGAAGTGATCCTCTGGTTGATCCTTGGAAACGACCGTGGTGGATTCAGTGGCCCCATGCTGCCACCGTCTTTGGATTTGAGGGCTCCGTGGTTGACGAGCTAAAACAGCTGATATTGGTCGCGAACTGCGTTTTAGATTGAGCAGACACCTGCCGCATATCCTGGATGAAGCTGCTTGTGAGCCTACTATATGATGCATCGGCAATGGCATTGGAAGCCTCATGGTCTTGAATAGTAGCCTTTGGTGCTATGCATTGAGGTGATGAGCTTGATGTTGACTCAGTTGAGCATCGCTCGGTAAACCTCCAGACTTGACTGAGCTTGGGTCGGAAGCTCTTAGCACCGGCCCCGTAGTGCGCTGTGAGCCTAATTGGCTGCACCACCGCATGTGGGGCCAAATTTTTGCTGCTATATCACCGTTGGCAGCTTGGCAAGCTTTTTGGTCTTTTCTTCTCTTTTTCTTCTCATCCTTCCACTTCAAAACAATGTGAGTACTGCCTTCGCTGCCGCCAAAAAATAACAGAAATGCTGACTATGCGCTAGATGATGAAAGCCTGCGTGTTTATATGATTTAGCTTCCTCCCCTCGGAGCCTTCAAACTCTCCCTTCGGGGCTTAAGTGGTTTGGTGGTGACTTGGGGCTGGAATTATGAAATGAGCGTTCGACACATCGACCTTGTTTATCATCGGACGCAATGAAGGCAACTCTGACCATCTTGAAGCTGGAAGAGGCATGAAGAATGCTCTCTCTGCCCCCCTCTCTCGCCATAGCACCGCCCTCGGGATGCAGTGTCTAGCGGCTTGCCCACCTGTTTCACCCACCCACAGCATTCCCTAGCTCTATCTCTACGATCATGGAAGTCTGTGATTCGTATGCAGAGGAGTGCTGGGGGCCATCATTAAGGCCAACCACCGTTGTACGTGATGATACATCTTAACAAGGTAGGTACGTGCTGGCTCTGTTGCTATGGCTCGTTATGTATCATATCTGTCCTGTCTCGACAGTACCTCGATGTCGCGTTTGCATGACGGCGAACGGGGACATTTCTAGTCATTATTACCCTCTCGGCGAGTTGAAAGTATGTGGTATGTGGAAAGTATAATCGGATGTTGCCCAAGCCGCATCCATGGGTGGTTCTTGCTTCGATGAAACCTTGACGATCTTTCAAGACATGGACAGTCTGTCCTGGCAATTTAATAGATCCCATTGCATCTGTAGAGGCGTGATTGTCCAAATGGCTTCAAAATATCATACTAATCGAATCTGATGAGCATTCATTTATTTGAAACACCAATATCAGCTGGATTTTGATTCAGTTGGGTGCCTCGCTGGAGCTCATATCTCAATTTTCCCAGCCGCCGGGCTGCTGGGATCGACGCCAAGGGTAGTTTTGGCGAGGTACAGCACAGTACAGTACAGCAGCACCATTGGCACCTACAGCCGCAGAGGTTACCGAGTGCCCGACAGCCCGACCACCTGGCCAACGCCAGCTCTCCACTCAGCTCCTCCACCTCCACTTCCAATCTGTAGTGCTCTGCCCTGTGTATACGTGCGTGCCCGACGGACGAACAACGTCAGTGTCATTTGCAACGTGAAGTAACATCCCGCTTCCTCACCCGTCATACCAGAATCTACGACCGTTTACGTCGACCTCTCCTCGTCTAGCGGAGCATCGTCCACGATCTCTAGGCAGTCTCTAGAGGGAATAAGCATAGACCCCGTACCGAGATCCCACTGCTCTCTCGGTGTCCTGTTATCTCTCGATCCCCACATCAACGCTCCGAGAACCACGAATCGCAAAAGTTGGCATGTCATGGCTGCGCAGCCCGCTATGATTGCTTCGTGACAACCTTCACTCCTCCGTATCTCCCTTGCTCATCTCGAGCTTCGCCTTCTGGCCGTGATTAGAGTCGGCGTGTTGTGGGCCAAGAAGAGCTGACGACGCTGTTCCCGGGCATTCCCAGCCAGCACCTCACCCCAGCCGCCCTGCGCCGTGCCTTCCGCAATCGAACGGCGATCCTCATTCTCGATTCGAGACGTCTAAAGTTCTGCCGATTGACAAAGCGCCTCTCCTGCCAACTTTTGGAGGGCTTGGTTATAGATTTCCACCTGTCCGATACTACCGACTCTGAAGATCAGAACGCCAGCTTAGAAGATGGCGAGCTCTTTCGAGAAATCCGTGAAGGGGGCGACCAAGATCAAGGTGAGTGCTGCCATACCAAACTTGCGCATACAGATGGCCTTTTGATGAGGTTCAATTGTGCTGACAGTTATTATGATAGGCCGCGCCGCCGAAAACGAAATACATCGAGCACATCCTTGTCGCGACACATGCTGGGGAAGCTGGAGTGGCCGAGGTCTTTCGGGCTCTACAATACCGGTTGCGCGATTCAACATGGACTGTTGTCTTCAAAAGTCTTATTACCACCCACCTCATGATCCGCGAGGGATCTCCAGACGTGACACTGGCATATCTGGCTAAGCATAAGAACATGCTAGCCATAAGCATGTTCTCGGATGGTGAGTAGCATACGACAGATGCTCAACGCACGATATACCCCAATCGGTCATACTGATTCGTGATATTTAGCACAAACACAAGGGCGAAACATACGACATTACGCAAATTATCTCTCCGAAAGAGCTCGAGCATACCGAGAAACAAAATGCGACTGGGTCCGGGCCAAGGAAACTCGACTGGAGAAGCTTACTGTTGATAAGGGATTGCTGAGAGAGACTGAGGTGGTTCAACACCAGCTGACGGCGCTTCTGAAATGCGATGTGAGTGGTAACCTACTTAGACAACAGTCCACTTGCTAATTAGCTAGGTGATGGATAATGAGCCGGAGAATGAGATCACTATCACGACATTTAGGTTGTTGGTCCTAGACCTGTTGGCTTTATTCCAGGTCTTGAACCAAGCCATGATCAATATTCTCGGTAAGAAGCCCTTGCCGTGCTAAAGTACCGCCTCTAACTATGTGTACAGGGCATTTCTTCGAGATGTCCAAGGTCGATGCAGAAAGGGCCATGGAGATCTATCGTACTTTCACAAAGCAGACAGACTACGTTGTGCAGTATCTCAGTGTGGCCCGCCAATATGAACATCACACCAGAGTGGAAGTTCCCAAGTTGAAGCACGCACCAGTGAACCTTGGCCGGCAACTTGAGGACTATTTGAAGGACTCTGACTTCGAGATCCACAGGAGACAATATCTTGCGGAACTCGAGGTTAAGAAGACGAAAGGATTCTCTGGGAGTAGCTCAAAGCCCTTCAAGATGGAGCCTGCGGCTAAGGCATCATCAAGTACTGCTTTCCCTGATGTGAAATCTCTACCGGCATCCAAGCCAGCTCAACCCTCAAAGGGTCCAGATCCAGACCTGATTGACTTTTTCGACTCCATCGAGCAGAATCAAACTACAATGGCTACAAACACTCAGCAACAACAGGTTGCGGCCGCTCCATGGGCTGGAAACGCTCCTTTCCAAGCACAACCAACCGGCCAATTTCAAAATGGGTTTGCCCCACAGCCGACAGGATACAACCCCTTCCAACAGCAGCAGAACCTCGGAGCTTTCCAACAGCAGCCTCAGCAGCAACCACAACAGCAAGTCCCTCAGCAGCTTCAGCCATCTTACACTGGGGCAGGATTTGGTGGCTTTACTCCACAGCCAAGCTTTCAGCCAAGCTCACTTGCTCCTATTCCCCAGGATAGCGTTGCGTCGTTCCAGACCGGTGCACAAGGCATCCAAAACCTACAGACCGGCCAGCAGACCACCAACCCCTTTAGGCTTTCGATGATGATGACTGGACAGACCGCCATGCCAACGGGAGCGACATCTCTGTCCACAGGAAGCAGCCCTACCCCTCTTCAACCACAATCCACAAATCCGTTCGCTCGCTCCTCTCCCCAAGCTACGCAGCCTTTCGGGGCACCAGCCAACAATTCGCCCTTCCAATCTCCGCCGCCAACTCAGCAGTTCAACCCTACCCCAGCACCGCTTCAACCCATGGCGACTGGGACGAACCCGTTCGCGAGGAACTTCACCGGTGCTCAATCGCAACGGCCAGCCACAAGCGGGGGTCCGCTTATGCCTCAGGCCACGGGGACTACTAATCCCTTCCGGCAAGGAGCCTTTGTCAATCATACTACAGGACAGGGTTGGCAGAACAATCAGCAACCCATGGGCGGTGGATTAGACCATCTTGAGACCATTCCTGTCTTTCCTCGGCCTACCCAGCAGACGCCATGGCAGCAATGAGCATGTCTAGTCAAACGCACTTTTTGGATTTCATAGTTGCCATTATTCTTGCTCATACTTATTCTAACCTTCGTTTATATACTTGGTTAAGCGTGGCGTTTCAAAGGAAGGTTTGCTTTGTCGTGCAGAAGAGATGTATCAGCCGAAAGATTTCTGAGACCATGTGGGCAGCGTATAGATGTGACTAGGTCACAGTCATGGAAGCATGGGCATGGGAAAAGTAGACTGAATGCAGTGAATCTAATACATTTTAACAATTATCTAACTTTGCTACGATGACTCATCATATGGTAGCCGTGTTCTGTCTGTCTGTAACCCAACCATATCATAAACCGCAAACGCCATCGCTATGCCACTTGAAATCTTTATCATTGCCGAAAAGGGCACTCACTTAGCCCCTGCCATTTATGCTAGGGATCTGGCTGGTCGGGAGCTGGATGCAGGAGTCGAAATCTCTCCTAGAAATCGTCGACATCCATAGCACCAGCGCTTACACCCAGCCCCGTCGCCGCCATTGACGCCTCGATGGTCGACACATTGCGCGCATCCGTTCCAAGCCCAGTCTCCTTCTCATCTTCAATGAACACACCCAACCCAGAGAAGGCCTCCAGCATAGCCCGTGCGTAGTACTCCTGTAAGCTATATCCGGGGACTGTATGGTCGCTCCGAATACGCGCATCTTCTAGCCACGGGTTCTTGTAGCTGTCTTGCACCGTATATCGCGACGGCTCAAGGTCAACGCCGCCGAAGGGATCGTAGGGCTCATCTGTGATCACTGGCCTCTTCTTATCTTTCAAGCCGCGAATCGACAGATTGCCACCGGGTCCGGCCGCGGCACGCAAGGCAGCTGCTTCGCTGCGCTCGAGCTCCTCCTTCCTGTGCTGGCCTCGCTTCTTGAGGATGATACGGTTCGCTGTGCCTTCTGGCGCCTTGGTCAGGCTGTCCAGGTCTTCCTCGCGCTGCTGTGCCTGCCGCCGCCGTTCTTCCTCTTCTTGTTTCATAATGTCCATGCGCCGTTGTCGTGCAGCCTCATTCTCTGCAGCGGTCTGCTTGCGCGTCGCCTCCCGCTGGCGTTCGCCCGCCCGCCTGTTCCGCTCGATATCCGCCTTGTGTTCGGCCTCCCATGCTCCAAGCTGCGCCTCAGCTTTGCGGCGCTGGGACTCGCTCCCATTGACGAGATCAAACGTCAGGTTCTCCACCATCTCCAGGTACTCGTTGTACGCATCGAGCGTCTCAAAGTCGTCCTCGACCTGGTTGAAGACGGCGGCGACGCGCCGGCGGATGTCGACCTCGCGCTCGACGCTCAGGTCGCCAAAGTAGGCGGCGCGGAAGCCCTTGCGGCGCAGCGTCTTGTGGCAGCCGGCGTAGGGGCACTGGTTGGGCCCGTTCTCGAAGAGCCGGTTGACGCAGTTGCTGCACATCGGGTGGTAGCACTCTGGGTTGATGAGGAACTCGAGGTCCTTGTTGAGGTAGCGCAGCGTCTTGCACACGGGGCACATGTCGTCGGACGCGCTGGACGTGATGGGCGCCGTGGTCGTCGTTGTCGTCGACATTGACGCCCGCGAGCCGAGGGAGGCTTTGCGCGACATGGTGATGGTGACAGAAGGAGGGTGAGAGCGTCTGGAGCTCTGTTGTATGGATGGTTTCACGTCATTAATCGCTGGATGAGACGCCCAAGCGTATGAGACTGGTGGCGTAGGATTTGTCGAGATAGAAGCTACTGCGAGGGATCAGATGTGGCAAGTTGAGGCTGAAGCTATGATGGTCTGTAGCTCAAGAGAACGAGGTTGAACTCCTAGTAATATAGCTTGTGGCTGACAAAGGCAGTCTCACAGTTGAACGCCACACCCCTGTCGCGGCTAGACGTGGGGTAAGCTCAAGGCTTAAAAATGCCCCGCCATCGATTTCCATTGAGCACTGCCGGTTCTTCGATCAAGTTCGAGCAACAAACATACACCAAACACCAACGAAAATGGCAGACAAAGGTATGTTCTACACTGCGAAACACCTAGTCCTTCTATTCTAGTACCAGAATACGATGTACCTCCCATATCCTACACAGATTGGCCAGCCTTCAACCGTAACGCTTCTGCTAATATAGCGTCAACCCCCCCAGAACTCACGCCTGCTGAAGAGGCCGCCGCTCGAGCCAAGGAGAAGGCCGAGCAGGATGCTCTCCCCTACAAGTGGATACAGACAATTGGAGACGTCGATGTCACCATCTCTATCCCAGGAAATTACAAGGGACGAGATCTGAATGTCGAGATCAAGAAACAGAAGCTAGTGGCTGGCATTAAGGGCCAGGAGCCCATCATCAATGTAAGCTTAGTTCTACATTACATTTCACAAGTATTGCGTATTGGCACCATGCTTACATAGATCTCACAAACAGGGCGATCTTCCTCACGCCGTACATGTCGATGACTCGACCTGGACCCTGACTACTGCCCCCGACAACACCAAGCTCATCGAGATCCATCTAGACAAGGTGAACAAGATGGAGTGGTGGCCACATGTGATAACCGCCGCCCCTAAGATCGACGTTACCAAGATCACACCCGAATCATCGAAGTTATCCGATCTCGACGGCGAGACCCGGGGCATGGTGGAGAAGATGATGTTTGATCAGCGGCAGAAGGAGATGGGCCTGCCCAGCTCGGACGAACAGAAGAAGATGGACATTCTCAAGAAGTTCCAGGAGCAACATCCGGAAATGGACTTCAGCAAAGCCAAGATCGGATAAAAGAGGCTTCACGCTGATATATGGGGCATTATGAACAAACTACAGCTGGTTTATAGGCAATGCATGGCTAGCAGACGTGGCGTGGGGAGATGGCTATATTGACTACCCTCTCGTGATGACGATTTAATGACATCCACATCGTGCTCTCTTTTGTTCAAGAAATGTGAGGGGTGAAACGAATTGCCGAGACCATGGGGCAAGAAAAGTTTAAGGGTCATGGCATCAGAGAGCCCATCATGTTCGATCTTGGAGCCGCTAGTAATGTGAATGCAGATTGATTAAGCTGCAGACCATCAATTGTCAGATTATTAAGCGTTCCGGTGACATACTACGAACAGGGACAGGAGAAATGGGCAGACTTCTGGCCACCACTGTTGTATGGGATCATCGGTTAGCATTCGGCGTGGGCATTTTTGGCCCTCAATGACTAGAGCGCTAGCTGATCATTTGACGACTGGTGGGCCGTAAGTAGAGTATCGAGAAAGTAATCACCTTGTTCGGTCACATTGTATCAGAGGTCAATGACACCCGCTGGAATGGATCAATCATGATTTCTTGCACAGCCGCCTGGGAGGACAACTACTGCTTTGACAGGCGAGCTGCCTTGAATCTGCTCATTCGCTTCGGCCCGCCCTCTTCCTCATCTAGAGGAACAACCACTGATTGGTTCTCTTTGAGGAAGCCTCCGTCCTTCTGTATCATGCGATTGCGCATGCGGTGATATTCACTGGCAGCCTCTTGGTGCAATAGGGTTGCGTCGAGCTCATCAGGTTCTTTCACGCCGGTTGCATCCAGCCTCTCGACAAGTGTGTCGGCTATTGTTTGACCATCTGGACCGGTGGGAGCTGTTCTAACATCCTGTTCCAGGAATCTGGAAGGGGCGTCTGCTGGCCCCTTGGGTAATAAGCCCGACTGTGTCTGAACACCGGCTCGAGCTGCCTTGAACTTGGAAGTTCTTTTGGCCCGTTCCTCTCTGGTAGTTTTTGGAACGGCACTTCTCTCCACGATGTCGCTTAGCGGGTCTACTCTTGGTTCGGTTTCCTTGATTGGCTTGGCTGCGGGTGTCTGTTCTGCTTTGGGCGCAATGTCTAAAGCATTGGCGAATTGCACCGACTTCGAGACCTTCGCCCCGGAGCCACCCTTACTCAAAGCGCTTGCCACAGACTCATTAGGGGCTGGGTTCCCACTTGGTGCAGGGACGATGGTAACGCGGCCAATGCCTTCATCACCCACTCCATTCTCCTCTGTCTCTTCCTCGGCGATAGTCCGGGAGGACTTAAATCCCAGTCGCTGCTCGAGTTCTTTCATCCGCTCACGATAGTCATCGTCAATGAGGCTATACTTGTAACGCCCGTACTTGTCTTCGGCATCTTCGTCGTCGTCATCCAGGTCGTCATCCCAGTCCTCGTCGTTGTCAGAGTAATCTTCGTCCAGTTCCAGCTCTGCTACAATGGGTGCGATGTCACTTGCACTATACTGTAGCATCTCTCGCCGAAGATCTGCATCTTCTGCGGATTCGTCTTCCGGTATGATAGGAGATCCTGACGATGGCTTTTCTTGTTCTTTTGCTTGCTGAATAATTCCCACCAAGCGCTGCGCCGTCCTTGATCGCTGTGCTTTGAGTTCTTCATCTTCACTCTCATGGCCGGGCTTGGTGTCTGTTGCAAAAGTAACGCTTTTCCTTCTCGATTCTGCTTCCTCTGGATCTGATTCATGCTTCCCATTTGCCTCATGTGGCTCCGTGCTGGAAGTCACTTGTGACTCGAGGACCGGCGATGCAGCTTCATTGGGCTGGTCCAAGGAAGCTGTCTGTTCGGGTTCAGGCTTCTGAGTACCGTCAGGTAAATCTTTGATTCCTGCTTTCTCTAAAGCCTCCCGAATCTGCGGCTGAACACTGCCGGGAGTCTGCAAACGATACGAGACAACATTATCGTCGTCGTCCAGCTCTTCGATGATGTCCGTCACCGGCTGACCCTCTTCGTCCCTAACATCCGGATTGCTGATGACAGCAGCCGCGGCGAGCTTGTTTTCTGCCGCCTCGAGCTGTTTCTCCAGCGTTCTGACATTCTGAGAGACATAGTCTACCCGCCGTGACACCAGACTGACGATCTGCTCACTGGTTTTCAGCGTGGCGCCGCCAAAGATCTCGGTGACTTCTTTTTTGGTGACGAGCTGGCCGTCAAAGTCCCTTCGCACTCTCGCCAGGTCGGCGGGGCTCGCTTCAGGGCCAAGGGTCTCCACGTCGTCCTTCAGCGCCTCATACTCGGCCTCCCAGAGCTGCCACTGCAGCATGGCATTTCTGAGCTTCTCCACATTGTCTTCAAGAAGCTGCCTATGCCTTTCCAGGTCAAGGAAGCTGTCTTTTATGGGCGCCATTTTATGACGTTGTGGATGGCTTTGTTGCAGCCTTAGCCTCGCATGAAGCCTACAAATTTTTGGTTACGGCACTCGCCACGTGAGCTTACGTAATGTCATAATTAAGGGTTTGAAGTTCCCCAGATTTTCTCAACGGCGCATCCTGCCCAAGATTTCAGGAACTTCTGAACAAGCAGTTGGCTCCAAGTTACTATCGCTTGATAAAGTCAATTACTATCTATCCACTTTTTCATACACAACATTTACCCTTTGCCCAGCGTTGGTAATGATCCTCGTAAACTCCAGCAATAAGCGCTAACAGGAAACCGGACGAATTAAGCCGCTGTGGCGAATGATAGTGCTTTGAACATTCCTTACTGGATGGATGCAGTAGGACACTGCACATGCAAGATTGCAATTCCTACCTTCCTCTTTTCTGATCTAGGTAGAGATAGTCTACGCACTCCAGCCGCTTCTGGTTATCCAGGTATGCTATCAGCCGCGCGGCGGGATAACGTCAACAAATGCAAACTAAGATGATATTGACACACTCTTCCAATTGATATGTTTGAAGACTGCTTGCATCACTGCGAACTCTAACAGTATGAAAATTCTCATTCTTGGCGGAACCAGCTTTGTTGGACGATTGGCGGCCGAAGCAGCTGTGGCTCAGGGTCACGATGTCACGCTTTTCAACCGTGGAAACCATTCGGCTCCCAAAGGGGTGACCTCCATCATTGGAGATCGGCTGACACCAGGCGGGTACGCGGCTTTGGGTAAAATGTCGTTCGACGCCGTGATCGACACCTGGAGTTCCGATGCCGTCGCCGTCAAGACTGCTGTAGATGCTTTACGGGGTCGCATCGGCCAGTATGTCTATGTTTCGAGTGTCAGTGTCTACAACACCGAGGGTGCAGACCTTCCTTTTTCTGAGTCTACTCCATTATTTGACCCCGAGAAGGCCCCCATAAAGTACATCAAAGACAAAGTCGGCGGGGAAATCCATGCAGATGAGTCCGGTGTGCCAACGCTTCTCGCCAGACCTACAGTCATCTTAGGTCCTCACGAGAACGTTGGCCGTCTACCTTGGTGGCTTCGACGAGTCGAGAAGGGTGGCAAAACATTGGCGCCAGGACCTCCCGATTTAGGCCTTCAATTCATTGACGGCAGGGACTTGGCGGACTTCCTGCTGCTTGCGATAGAGAAACAGCTCAGCGGAGCAGTGAATCTAGGATCCAAACCAGCTCATACATCATTTGGCAACGTGCTGAACACCGCAAATGAGGTCACAGGAGGCCGTGCGGATCTATACTGGCTTCAGCCCGAGAAGGTTCTTGAGGCTGGGCTAAAGCCATGGACAGAGCTTCCTTTGTGGATTCCGTCGGACGAAATGTCCATATACTCATTCGATGTTGACAAGGCTCTCAAGCTTGGCCTACGGATTCGGTCCGCAGAGCAGACAATTTCAGACACCTGGGATTGGCTAATGTCTGACGATGAGCCACCAGAAAACTTGGGTAAAGGTATAGGTCTTGATCCGGATAAAGAAACTAGCATTCTGAAGAGATACTTTCATGCCTAGTCATTCAATCAATACGAGTGTTGTTTCTATGTGGAAATACATTCTAGTAAGGGGTGGTCTTGAATTCTGATGTGAAGTGGTACGAAATTTTGATCAGCCGAGGCTTTCGACGGTTATGTTGTCTCTGCGATAGCCCTCAGTTGGCGTACCAAGTATTCAAACTCAGTCCTGTCACCTGTATCTGCAGGATCAGGTTTTGGAATAGAAGGAACAGCGGCTGTCCATTTGACTCCAAGATATTCTGCTTCTCTCATCTCTTCAGTGGTCATCTTTTTGGCTCCCAGCTCGGCAAGAACCTCTTCCATCCGCGGCGCCGATTGTAAACTGAGAAAATCAAGAAGGTCCAGTCCAAGCGTGTTGAAGTCTATACTTACTTTCGGCTTGGACTCGACCTACTATTGGCAGGGGAATTTGCGGGTTTGATCGCAAGAATTCACAGGAAAAGTTCTCCTCGATGGTGGCATCTGGAGCTTTCGAGTAGAAGAGTCGCAACGTGTCTGTAATGGGGTGATCAAAATGAAATTGAACTAGAGTCATTGCTGTAATTCTTTATGGATTACATGAGTTAAAAGATCCAAAATTAGTATCCATCGTTTTAGAAGATGCTTGCCTGCCCTCGAGGTCTCGTATATCAGCAGGAACGCCGGCTTCAATGAGCTCTTTGGCAAATGAGTCTACGGCATTCGTCTCCCAAGTTTCATCCTCTCGTGCCACAAGCCTACCCATTTGTGAAGTATGGATCAACCTTGCATTCTTGTAAGATTGCGGAAATTGCGTTTGCATCAGTAACAAGTGTCGAACCAAAACGAGGCAACGCTGACTCGATTATATTCAAAGACGTTCGTAAGCTCTCTAGATGCACTCGCGCTGAAGCTAGATCTTTGTCTCGGCCTTCAAGGTCGTCGAAATAGGTCGTGATAGCCCCGTATATCTATAGACCGAGTGATACGAGGCCAGCAGCAGTGCCAACAAGTCCTGCTGGGTCGGCCATCGTGGCGAACGGTCAAGGTGCATCTAGATTGCTGAGTACTCTACAAATGTCTCGCGCAACAGATCAGCAACATGCAAAACAACTTATACACTGTAGCAACATGATGACCGGACGCGGTGCAAGGTACATTGTGTGAAAGTGGGCTTATTCGCAGTGGCAAAGTCGTTTGTATTAGATAAGCACTTGCGGCATGCAGAGAATGCTACATGGCAATGAAGTACGACGAATTTGGGTCGAGAGGGCTCTTGACGCTCACCCAAGCCCCCGCCACATTTATGAGGTTTAGTGCTGACATCAGAGCCCTGGAGAGGTCAAGAGGTCGGTTGTATGTAATAGCACGGCACCTAGATTGGCCTGACAATAGCATCAGTAATAAGAAAGTTCAATGATCTCTCCCAATTCAGATCAACATGACAATAAGACCATACTCAATATTCATCCGAGATTGCCGATTAAGCCTTATCATACTTTCTAAGTTTTATATACTGTATACTATAAATCTTGCTGATTATTCGTCTCTTTATCAAGCTTCAGATTCCGTTGCAAGACTGTGACAAGAAAGCCTACTCCACAGAGCGCTGCTGTGAAAATCCATAGCGTTCGAAGGCTTTGGGCAAGAATATCCTGATATAAGATGCGAACCTCTCCTGGAAGGGAAGGCACAATTCTGGCAGCCGCCTCCAGTGACGACCCTGAAAGAAGATATTCTGGCGGAATGTCTGCGCTTGCAAGCCTTTTATTCCATTCGTTCTGCACAACAGTCCCGCCAAGCCCTACACCAAATGCATTGCCTAGAGACGTGAATACTGAGACTAACGTTGATGCAATGGGTACGGGGTCACGGTTAGGCGCAAACTGCTGCATATCGCGGCTAGTGAAGTCGGCTTTCAGTTGCAACGGAGCTTGCACTGCAAGCACGCGCCCAGGGTACAGACCACCCGCACCAACGGCAAGTAAGATTTGAAAACAGTAAGATGATCCAACAAATGAGTTCGAGTTGAGTGTTGAGAGGGCGCCAATACCACAGGCTAAAAAGACCCAGGAGGTAAGGTTGAAAACCTTGAACTGAGAGGTGATGCTCATGAGCACACCTGTTACAGCTGCGAAGACGGGTATGGCAGCTAATCCAGGGATAACCTCCAGACTCGAGTGAAGGAGCGAATGCTGTCGAGCGATGAGGTACTGGGAGGATCTGGTCAATTCAAGACTTGGAATGAGACCTTACTGACGCTTACATATAGAATCAGATAGTAAGCTAGAGCAATCACTGCTACGCCGTGAGCCCAAGCCGTGAAATAGCCGGAGGCAACTGTTCGATCCTTGAATATACGGATTGGTATCATGGGCAGCGCCGGTACTAAAGCCTCGTATTTGACGAAGCCTGCTATGCCCAACGCGCCCATAACTAACGGAGTGACAACGCGGGCAGAACTCCACGGATACAACACTCCTCCCGTAGTGACCCCGAGAAGCAAAGCTAGCATGCTGCCGCTAATGATTACTACGCCACCAACGTCAAGTGTCCGTATTCGACTCAGCAGAGTCGTCGAGTTTCTCTTCCGGTCACTGGGGAGGCGAATACAAAATAGAATTCCGCATGCCGACATGAGACATATGGGAATATTAATGTAGAATATCAACCGCCACAACGTCTCAGCGAACACGGCTCCAAGAACAATTCCAGTCACTAAACCAATAGCTGCAGTCAGCTGAACTAAGCCAGTATATATACCACGATCTTTAAGCGATGTGAGGTCGGATACTAGAACGTTGACCATAGCATTTGCACCACCGCCCCCGATTCCTTGCATCTGAGTGATGACAATTAGTAACAGCAGGCTTTGGACTGGTAGGCTCTTTGAGCTTCTATTGGGTTTATGGCAGGAAACATAATAATACATACTGCTCTTGCTGCAATCAACCATGGCATAGTCTGCGCCGTGGCGCATAGTATGCTAGACAAGCCAAATATTGCAATAGCCCCAAGCATGCACTGCTTGTGGCCCACAATCTCCTGGAAAGCGCCGTATATTGGTTGCGAAACTGACTGGGCAAGTAAGAAGGCCGTGCCGGACCAGTACGGTTGGGCGCCGGTTCTACCAAGCTCTCGAGTTACGACCGGTAACGCGGAGGCTAGGATAACTAGATCCACGGTAGCGTTGAAGCAGACTAGACAGATACTGCAGATAGCTAAAAAGAATCGTAAATCGTGCGGAGGATACTGTAATATGTGCGACGTGGTATTGGTATCACTTTGTACCTCGAGTTCACGATCAACTGTGTCTGTTCTGGACGTAGTTTTGGCTTCACTTGATGGTCCGTGACCTCTTGAATCAAGTTCATCATCCATGCCAGCGCAACTTTTCTCCATTGTTGTGGCAATTCGGAAGTTCGGTGGCTTGTCTAAGTCTGCCCTCCGAACCGAGGTTTGTGTGTAGAAAAAGGAGTCTAAATGACGGGATAGGCGCTGGCGTTTTAGTAAGGACAATGGTAGATGGAGTGGCGCTACATTTACGGATACTTGTACAATATCCCTTGGCTATACATAGCATCCTGAGATACACGTTCAATTACCCTAGTTACCAGTAGGCCTAAATTGGCAAACACCTCCGTCTTTAGGAGGTAGCTGGTATGCTATACATGGGTTAGTCTAGCACAGCTGAGCAGTATTCCGTGGTTGCTGACAGGGAAAATGGAGAGTGGAGACGGCTAGACTATCAGACCGTAGGGATACCATTTCGGTGTTTTGTAAGCAAATCGGCTATGTACGAAAAAAGCTGTCTCCACGCACATAGTTGATCCCCTCCACGGAGGAAACAGGCAGGGGGTTTAAGCATAAATTGAAACCGATCCGTGCCGCTCTTAAGATGACTAGCGACGGGCGGGGGCTGTTGGTCCCCTACTAGAACTCACCCTGTCGCCCTTTCGAATGGCTCAATTAAGTGTAAGGCGCAACCACCAAAATATGCAGACAGGTTCCCGGGGTTGGCAGAGGCTTTGATACAACCCCATAATCTAGTGATTAAACCCTGCCAAATCGGGATTCTCGAGGACTCTAGCGAGGCGAAGAAAAGCGTAACTTCAGTGAAGACAAAAGCGCTAAACCCGGCAGTCAATACCCGAGTTATTGCTCTACATTGAGACGAAAAGAATTGTGTTAGCCTCGCCGAGGGCCGTTATACAGACATTTGTCTTACCACTATCTCACTAAATGAAGTAAAAAGGCTATCCAGGGCCGTTAGACAACGCCCAACCATACCCGCAGTGGTGCTGATATCAGCACTAGTCCTTCAACCCTGTCTACATAATGAAACGATCAACTGGTATGACTTATTATGGTCGTTCGTATAATATGCACAGTGATGACAAAGCTCTGCAAGCTCACACAAGGCCCGGCCCCCAAAACTTCACCCATTTAATTTCCAGAATCTGTTGTCGAGTCTTTCCAAATATGTATTACATAAACACCTCTTCGAGAACTCTATCGGTCACCCAGAAACGAGCGAACCCAGTGAAAAGCCGGATTCTCAAGTTTCTCACAGGTGCTGAGGTTCTTCTCTGGAGTTGCGTTGGGGGTGTTGGTTCTCTTAATGTGCTTTCACGTTGAATGTCAAGCGAAATGTTCCAAGAGCAGTTGGCCCGGCTCTGTTGGGCCATGCTCTTCTCGATGTTGTGCAAATTAAGGCATGGCCGACTGACGATCGTCGATCAATGTCCCATCAATGGAGGTAAACCGCAAACTGCGACATTCGGCGGCAAGGTCAAGGAATCGGATAATCTCGAGGCTACCATCACTGTTTCAGACCAGTCGGTATGGTTGAGATAATGCTCAAATTTAGTCTGGCTATTGAGGCGGCCCGGACGACCGGTTGCCGCATTACCGCCATAACTCTCTCGAAAGAGCAGTAGAACTTGGTCGATCAGCGGATTCAAGCAGCAGGATTTGAGCAGCTTGTTGAATGCGTCGTCTGTGACTACCGAAGCATTCCTAGGCGCCCAAACGGTTATG